GATCCCGGGAGCGCTGAGGAGAAAAGGACTCTGGATTCTGGAAAGCCGAAAGCGCGCGAGAGAAAGAGAGCGGGAATAGAGGTGGCTGGCTACCGTGCCGGTACGTGTCGACTTCCCACCATGACAGTGCGAGGATGAAGGCCCGGTGCTCTCACAGTCGATCTGTCCTCGAGTTCAGCCGAGGGGGCAGCAGATCCATGTTCGTCCGACGAGAAGTATTTCGCGCATTGTGCGGGGCAATGAGATGGGTGGCCCTGTTCCTCGCGCGCAATGGACCGTGGTCAGGTTCATCTTTCGAAACATTGACGAGGCTGGCAATGCTCCTGTGCCTCGATCAATTGCTGATTCCGATGGTCGTCGAAGCCAAAGCTAGCTGTTGGTGCGCGATGGTGAAACCACACCAACATGAAGGGCTTGAAGGGTAAGGGCAACTGCCAGTGGCTGGACGTAGCCTGTATATGCACAATCACGTGCACAGTGGCTGGCAAGGCTTGGCAGGTGCAGGTAGGCAAGGCCGCTAATCAAGGGCACGCAGGCACGATGGGCCAGCCTACTTTTTTAGCTTGGACGGAATCTTGCATTGGGGCGCATCGTACGGAGTACGGATAACCTCCATCCGTTCGTGCATCTGGAGACCCCACCTGGCGTTGCGAAGATCACCAATGCATCAGGTCAAAACTCCAATTTCGAGATACGCACGTTCGCAAATGCGATGATTTTGTGATTGCGCTTCTGAGCCGTGCTGCTGACAAGAACAACAGGTTCTGGCCATGCCTGGCTCAAGAGATATCCAACGAAGAGCAATGCGCTGTATAGTGTGCGTATGGCGACTTAGCTCTGGCACTTTAACAATCAACCACCAAAGTCAATTCGTGTCATAAAAATAGCACCAAAAACGCTCATGCCACCCATTTGCAACGTCATTTTCTGCTTCTTGAGACATGTGAGCAAGCAAGCGGTGAGGAAACCATTGTATTTGACGCTTCTACGACCTTTGGATGCCTCACCAGATCGGGCGCTGGCTACGAACACGCGAGGCCTTGGAAGACAATGTCTCTCTCAGAAAACCTTGTCTTCTGAAACACTGACGGCAACGGTCAGTCTGTCCCCGTGATCTGGGAGATGGCATCCATCGGCTCCTCCCACCGAGCATGGCAGGCTTCTACAAGTAGTGGAGTCAGAGTAGCTCCAGCCTTCATGTGCCTGCTCCTAGGCTGCATATTGATGTAAGCAGGTACGGAGTACAGACGTCTGGAGTGCAGTGCGCCGCGGAGAGCGTACATTATTACAGTGTGCATCAGCCTCCAACTCGTTGTTGCTATCGTCTGGAACGAAGCTCTGAAGCTTGACGGAACATCTGCAGCCTAGACTAGAAGTCTAGCTCACCAGCCAGCGAATTGACTTTCCAGTGTGAAATCCAGGGAGTTATGATTGGCTCAATACCCACCGAAGACATCCAGCCACTTCACAAACAGCGAATTGAACGCTTTCTGAAGATGTCTTGCTGTGTGATGTTATTGCGCGCTTGCACAGTATCTAAAACAATCACTCTGACCGGTCGAGGTGCTGACGAGGGGCTAGCCGAAGAAGGACAAGATGTAGTGCAGCGGTCAACAGCAGGGGTACATGGAGGTAACTTGCCAAGCATTGGATCCATCGCGTGTGCAGTTGACGGTGGGGGGAAGGGAAGCTTGTTAGCTTGAGTTGAGGAGGTCTGAGCGATCCTGGACCGAACGAAACTCGAATCCCGGGCGTAGGGCGGCTCGCAGCTCGCAGTCCCGCAAGATAAGGACAGTAAGATGAGAATCGTGAGATGGCGAGAGACATTGATTGTTGATACTGTGAGTTGGCCACAGGTAAGGAGAAGAAGCACGATAGCAGCTAGCTACTGGTATCGCGTCTGGCCGCTGCGATCCATCACAAAGGTATAAAGCAGCGCGTAGTTGCTGCCACGACGCGCTGCCATAATAACCACTTTAGGCCACGGGACGGGTTCATCACTGATCCGAAGCTGAACAACACAGGCCCCGCTTGGGATGGACAGTCCCCCCGCCGTCGCGCTCAATCCTTTTCTTGCCGACTGGACGGACGGCCGACTGGAGTCGAGAGACAACTGGTGCCAGCGCACAATCATCAGAAAGCGGGACGATAGGTGGATGGACTGGACTGATCCTGGTGCGACGCTGCTCCACTCTAGTGACAAGGGTCGCGCTCGAGGACTGGACCCTGGTCATCACACGCACCCTGGCATCAGGTCACGGCCCACTGGACCAGGAGGGGGGAGGGGGGCTGGAGGTGCTTTTAGAAGCTCGGCCGGGGGGCCTTTTGAGGAGGCCATCATGATGCTTGCTCAAACAAGCCGAGCCGTGCGAAGCCACGAAATGTTGTCTAAAATCATCATAAGCGAGCAGCAGGAGGAGGCTAGCGGTCATCATAGAGAATGAGGGTTTATTCACATGCCCTGTTGCCGCATTGTCGATTTGGCTGGCTGTGTGTGTGTGTGTGTCTGCAAAAAGGGTGCATAGCATAGCATAGTACGGATATGACATGTGCATTGCTGGGCAGCCCGGCATATAGGGCAATAGAGTGCATAACTCCAGGCTTCTGGATTTGCTAGGCTCTATGGTATGTCCCATATTCATTAGTAGCTTGATTTGCCGGCAGGACTGTGGTTCTTCCGACCAGAATAGTGCTCGTAGTCATGGATATTGTCTGAAGACGGCCATCACCAACCACGTTAACAAGTCTCATCAACAGACACGGGTGAACGAGTGAGACTTTTCTACACGGACCGTCCTGGTATCTACCTTTATATAGGCAGGCGGGCAGGCCATTTGATGTATAACGGAATCCGTTTGCGAAACTTCATGCTCCGACCCCGTCCCATGACTTGTAGCTGAAGAGCATCGTTGACAACGTGAACAGAGGACCCTACATAAGTACAGCTGATGCAGCAGTCTGTAGGTTGCGTCTTGGTACGGATTGCAGCCACGAAAGTGACCCTCGTTAAACAACTATCCTTATGAAGGTGATCCCAAAAGCACACATTTATTACTCATCGCAGGCGCATCGATTGACCTCCTCCGGCTTCGTTATCCTACCGTGTCCAGACAGTGTGAGAGAGAACAAAGTAGCGCGACTTTTGCAAAACAAGACCCACTCTGACATGGGTCCAAGCCTGATAGCCCCTGTCACGGCCTCATGAGTCTCCACGGGCGCCATCCACTCCTCTTCGCTGGCCGTGGACCGTCTGGATGTCGGTCGCAGGTCGGTCGATGGAGACGGCAGGGACAGAGGAGAAAGAAGTAATCAGTCAAGACGGGTGCCTGCGGATTGTGGTAGATGGATGATCGACAGCGTGAGGAAAGGTGAGGGCGTAAGGAGATACTATGTCGTGGGATAAGCAGACCAGATAGTAGGCTGCTAGCGCCAGAAAGCTCGCTACCTTGCTCTCTAGGCGCTAACGGGAGCAATCCTGAGCTTACAGCGTGTGCTCTAGGGGGCTCGCCGGGACCCCCGTCCATGGTAGGCCAATTATAGCGGGAGAAACCCCATTCTATCCAATCCATGTCCAGTCAGTCTGCTCATGTCTTCCGCTACGGACGGAACCGTTTCGACAGACACCCCCCAGTCCATCTCGCCCACTCCGGTCACTCTCCAGTCACTCTCAGGTCCAGGGCAGGCCAGGCTCTTCACTCACTCCAGCGTTCGCTCACTTTGGGTATTAGTTCTCGCGCGCTGGTCGCTTCGCTTCCAGTCTCCCATCAGCCAGCCAGCCAGCCAGCAGCCAGGCCCAACCTCCACAAACAAAACCATCCCCGGTCCCGCACTGTTCATCTAGCTGCTCGCCCTCTCCTCTTCTCTTGATCCTGTCCGTCCTCGCCCACGACTTCGTCCTCCTCGCCCTCTCCTCATTCTCGCTCGGGCTGCCGACCTCGTTTATTTCCTCCCCAAGCTCGCCCTTCCTGCCCTCGTCTTTTCTCCTCTCCCCCCTCTCTGCTTTCAGGACAACGGGCATCTGATCTGATCTGGCTTGCCTGACCTGACCCAGTTCTGTGCGTTGGTGAGTACAATTGCCCAGCCCACACTCATGCAGCTTTCAAGCAGGCCTACTCCGCTTCATGCGTCCTCCCGCGCGCTCTCATCCATCCTCTCCCATTTGGCCTGGCCCTCCCCTCCTTGATTGCCTGCAAGACCAGCAGAGCTTCGCAGAGGCGCGCAGCGCGCAGCTACACTACACCTCTCTCACCTCTCCTTGTCCTGCTCAAGCTCAATCCTCCTGGATCTTCAACGCACGCTGCTAACCACCCATATGCATTGCAGTAGCGGCCACTTGTTGACTTCCACGCCGCCTCACCTCATCTCGCCAGGCACAGGAAACTTTCAGTAGCCGCACGTCTTTCGTTTCCGCGTATCTCGTCGTCGTCGGCCCTGGCCTCGTTTCTCGCAGCGATTCGCACTCATCCTTCAAGCAAACGACCTCCGTCGATCCATTCGCTACCAAACCACTGTTCTCGATAGCGCTTCCTTGATCGCGAACCGCACTTGCAGCACCGGCTTGTCTTTGTCGCACCGTTCTTTGAACGACTCGCTCGAGTCTCGTACCGTTTGTCTCTTGGTCTCGTGTTGCGACACTCGTCCTGTTCAGCTTCCGCGGCGTGTTACGATTGCAACGAACTGAGTTGATGTCCTGTTACGAGTAACACGTATTTGCACGGAATACACGTTTAATCGACACCTTGAGTACAAAGCGCACTCACCCTCGACGACACAGACCTATACGACATTGCGAAACCTGCATCCAACCCAAACGCGCCAGAACGCTTACTCCTCTTGGTTGACGTGGTCCTTGCTCTCCCAAAGGCGCTAGCTGTACTGGTCTGCCTGGGCTCATCGACTCTCGATATCCTGGCTTGGACACCACTAGTGATCGATACCACTAGAGCGACTGCGAATTTGGTGCACCTTGTTCCTTATCCATCTCCCCCTGCTCCGTGCGTATGAACAGCGGACAGACATCGTCGCTTCCCCCCTTGCCATCTAGCCAGTCATACTCCTCTTCGTCCTCATCCCCACGGCTAGGCTCGCATTCCTCCTACACCTCTGTTGCCTCCTCCAACGGACCCCGAACGCCCCCTTCTCTCCCCGTCAACGCAATCACTGGACCGGCCACCGCCATCTCAAAGTACGACGCTATGAACAGCGGCCCACCGCACAGTGAGATGTATTACCCACAGCATATGTCCGGGGCACAGCAACAGCAGCCACCAGTCTCATCGGGTCCCATCAGTCACTACTCAAACCAGCCTCCGATCATGCAGCATGGCCAGCCGTACTCCAATGGCGGCCCTGCGCCGTACTCTTATGCGTACGGCAACGGCATGACCTCGCCATCTGGCGGCCACATGCCCGGCGGTCTGCCGAACCAGAACGTTCTGCCTCTGCCAGGTCAGGGTGGCGTGCCACCAGGCTATGCTTTCGATTCGACAGGCCAGAACCCCCCTCCAGGCATGAAGCCCCGTGTCACAGCGACACTCTGGGAGGATGAAGGCAGTCTGTGCTTTCAAGTTGAGGCTCGTGGTATCTGCGTCGCGCGTCGTGAAGGTAAGCGTTTTCGCGTGCTGGTGTACATGTCGGGGCTGACCAAAAGCAGACAATCACATGATCAACGGAACGAAGCTGTTGAACGTGGCTGGCATGACACGCGGGCGACGCGACGGTATTTTAAAGAGCGAGAAGGTTCGCCACGTTGTCAAAATTGGCCCAATGCACCTAAAAGGTGTCTGGTATGTGCCCCTTTTGATTGCGCTGTGAGACATTTCCCCAAACCATTTACTGAGACATGATCAGGATTCCCTATGAACGCGCCCTTGACTTCGCCAACAAGGAGAAGATCACCGAGCTCCTGTATCCGTTGTTCGTGCACAACATCGGTGCGCTGCTCTACCACCCGACAAACCAGAGCCGCACAACGCAAGTCATGGCCGCTGCTGAGCGTAGAAAGCAAGAGCAAGGCCAAGCGTTGCGTTCACCCACTGGCCAGGGCAATTCCGGCTCGCTGCCTTCGATACAGCCACCGCATTCCATGGGCATGCCAGGGTCGCAGCCCCAGCTGCCATCCAGCAACATGGGCCGACCTACTCTCGACCGCTCCAACACATTCCCAACACCCCCTGCGAGCACCTCTAGCGTCATGCCCAACATGGGCAATTCGGACAGCTTTGGGTGGCAAGGACAGAGTATGAACGGGTCGCAAGGTACCAACCCTATCGCCATGGACAATGGCCTTGGTCATGCTCGCTCCATGCCAACCACACCAGCCACCACCCCACCCGGCTCGATGCCTCCCTACCACTCTGGCGGCCAGGGCTACGACAACTCGCGCTCTCTCTACAACACGGCTCCCAACCAGCAGTCGCCGTACGCGCCGTCGACCAGTGGCTCACAGGACCGCCTGTACAGCCATGCGCACGCCTACCCGAAGCATGAAATGGGTCCCCCGGCGAGCAGGCCATCTGGCTCGGGCCCCATGGGCGAGGGTGACTCCAAAACTGGCATCCTGCCCTCGGAGAACGCACAGCAGCCGCACGGCGAGGAGGAAGGCGAGCACGAGCATGATGCCGAGTACACGCACGACAGCAGCGCGTATGACCACAACCGGCCCTCGTACAGCTACACCGCCCCTGGCGTAGGCGCCTTGACCAGCGACAACAACAATGTCGACCCCAGCATGACGGGATCTCCTAACCACCACCCTGGATCTGGCCGGGCCACACCCCGCACGGCTGCGCAGCCTCAGCCCTACTACTCCCATACGTCGGGCTACGCCAGCTCCCCGCGTGTGCAACAACACCCGTCCCACTTCTACAACGGAGTGAACGGCGACCGTCCGGCCACGAATGGCAGCACGGGTGGCGATGTCTATGCGCCTCCCGCTGAGATGTCCAACTCCATGACCAATGGAGGCTACGCGCCCCAGCCACCCATGAGCAACGCTCCTGTTGGCGGTGTCAAGCGCGGCCGCGAAGACGAGGAACTTCCCCGCCAGATGGGCGAGCTCCCCGGAATGGACCTCAAGCGTCGGAAAACCATGGAGTCGACTCTCCCGGCTCCCCCCTTCGACTCGATGGGACCACGGCCTGCGTCGTCCGTTCCCAGTGACCCACGACCACGGTAGGTGCATCACCTCAGCATCTACCGCCCATTGCCCCTAGACGGCAGTGGAGAGTCAATTCGGAACCGTTGACGAGCCACGACCACCGTTGCTTCCATGTTCGCGAGCAAGACACGCCTTGTTTGCCAAGGATGTACACGGTTAATGAGATGAACGCTTCCACAAGAGGGTATAATTCGGGACGAAGCAGCCCCCCGCGCAATCTGCACGCGATCATCGTTATTTGCCTTCATCGACACACCGGGCCGTTTCATGCGGGAAAACGTCCTTGCTCCCTTGTAACGACCATCAAGGGGCTTGCGATACTTCCGACGGCCTCAGCAGACGATTGCTATTTCCTTGCCACATGTTTCTTTCTCATTTTCCTTGGGTACTCATCACTCCATTGCCGATCTGATTTTACGGGAGGCGGCATTTGGACCGAGAGGCCGGGCCATGTGTGGGGGGAGCGGCTACGACAACTGCCTGTTCATTTTTTTCATTTTCATTTCTCCTGATGACGACCTTATGACCACGTTTGCTTCTGAAAAGCGCCAAAGACGGTGTGTTTGGATACTTGATTACCAGGTAACGACTTTACGAGAGACAAATAAAAGCATTGTAGTTGATAAGTCTGGCCGTGCAGCTTGCATGCCTGTAGCTTGAAGCATCCGATTGAGGTGTCTTACGATGTTCCATCCTCATATCCAATGGAGGGTTGACTGGAACTATTGCGAGCATTAAGTTGTCGCATTGCATGAGCGCGCATAAGAAAGATCACGTGTATGGTCGGGTCGTTGTCGTGGCAACGGTGCATATGTCTTGCAGCACCCAAACAGTCTAAAAGTGATCGTATTTCGCCATGAACAATTGAATTTCCCTTCAACGCCTGCGACATCTATTTGGCCCGAAAAGTTTCGACACCTCTATCACTGCGCACCAGCGGTCTCGTGTCTTGTTTCACTGCTTCATGCATCATAGCTAAACAACGATGGCCACGCCACTGTCGCCCGCTATGAACGGGGCGTTGATCGCTCCATCACCCCTCGCAATGCCACGAAACGAGCAGTACGAGGTCCAAGCCTACACAGAGCCGCCAGCCTTGTCTCCCGAGACAGATGGCGATTCTTCGCCATTCATATCGCGTATCGAAAATGACCAAGAGAACCCATTGCCGTCGAAACATCGCACCGACCTTCTCCAGGAGAACATATCGCCCAAGAGGTCACAACATCCGCGCGTGCGGTCTGGTGCTGAGATGTCACCACTCAAAATCCTCGCCGACCGCAAATCTCCTTCACCGTTGCACGGCGATATGCCACCGCCTCCCTCCGCCAGAAGCCCCAGAAAGATGTCCCCCGAGAAGAGGTTCCCTGTTAAAGTCAGCAACCCCATTCCCGAGGAAAGGGAGGTAGATTTCGAAGACATACTCCGAGACAACCAAGGCTTGACGAAGGCCGTTGAGATTTTTGAAGATGAAGATAGCAGCATCATCCCTGAGGGGGGAGAGCCGCAAAACACCATGCCCACAGCAGCAGAGGATAGCGCGGCTGGTGTGGATGAGTCGATGATCAGCACATTCAGCACGTTCTCTGCGGTGCCCAGCATGGATATGTTTGCAAGGCTTGGGACCAGCCCGGGGAAGCCTTCGCCGGCAGCAGCAGGGCCGTCAACCCCCCGCGGCAAGCCAGAGTCGGCCACATCACGACCGTTTCGCACGCGGGGATCAGACAACACGACCAACCTCTTGATTGATTTCACGGAGCAACTGCGCAACCCGCATCGCTCGCCTGCCAAGGTCAACAGCATGATGAACTCCAATACTCTGAGTACGCCCGGCAGACGGATGAGCAACCTCCTCGACTTCGATATCCCCCCCATGCCGACCCCCCGATCTGTCCCCTCTATATCAGCCCGCGAGCTGGAGTCTTTGAAATCGAATTTCCTTTCTGAGATCAGCTCACTCAAGGCTAGTCTGAGTGGCAAAGAGGCGGAAGTCAACTCGCTCAAGACGGCTGTGGGCGACGCAGAGAAACGCGTGGGCGAGTCCCTCGAGCAACTCCGCGAGGAGAAGTCTGCCAAGGACCAGCTCGCCGCCGAGCTAGAGGATTGGGAGACTCGCAGCCGCGAGATGGAGACCGTCCTGCATAGAGCCAGGGGTGACATTGAGACAAGTCAGAACGAGAGGGAAGAGCTGGAGCGCAAGCTTGACGAAAGCGAAAAGCGACGCGAAGCGGCTGAGATGCTACACCAAGAGGCGGAGAGTAAGATGGCAGGCATGCGTGCTGGACGGGAAAGTGCCACGACATCATCATCCGAAAAACCAAATCCGTCCAACGCCCAGGAGGTGGAGCTCGCGGTCGAGCGCGTGGCGCGCGAGCTGCACGGTCTGTACAAGAGCAAGCATGAGACCAAGGTCGCCGCCCTCAAGAAGTCGTACGAGACACGCTGGCAGAAGAAGATCAAGGACCTCGAGTTGCAGATGGAGGATCTCACGGAGGAGAATGAGAGGCTGAAGGCTGGGAGGGACGTGACCCTGACCAAGATCGACAACGACAGCACCATGGCTGGCGAGCTGAAGGCGCAGGCTATCAAGGACAACGCCTCCATGACGGAGCTCAAGGCGGATATCCAGCGACTGGAAGCCGTGGTGTCCACTGTGCAGCGCGACAATACCGATCTGCGCGGCATGTTGGAGAAGGAGCGCGTGGAGAAGGGCGAGTTGGTGCAGCTGGCCGAGGAGATGATGAGCATGCAGAGCTTCGTGGGCGGGTCGAACCATGCCGTACGGGGTGAACCTCAGCAGCAGCAACAGACACCCGCGCCGCAGAGGTCGCCGAGAAAGGCAAACTCGCGCGAGAGGGAGCAGGCGCCTCACCCCGAGGCACCCGCAGCCAAGACGCCCAAGACTAGTCATGACGGCTTCAAAGCCAACAATCGGGCATCTGGTCTGCGTGCTCCTGGTTCCGGATTGAGGGCGCCAGGTGGACTGCCGCGTCCAGGGACGGCCTCGTCGAGGAGTGGCATCATGAATTCGATTGAGAAGATGGGGAGTTACCGAGGTCGTGGAGGAGAGTAGGCGTGCGTGGTTGAGATGAAGTGACGGAGAACTGTTGGACGGATTATGACCGGCGTTTGGGAAAAGCCACGAGTAATGACTGCTCTCTTGCTATAATGAATCACGATGATTTTGTAACTCTACGCCCGTCCCCGACAAGGATGAGATATCACGATCATGCGGCACGTTTCCTCAATTCCCTCCATTCCATTCCGTTGATATCACAGCCCGTAAGCCTTCTTTGCCGTGCCACCAAAAATCATGGCCCGGTCCTCATCTGACAAGGACGCCATCCAGCACATCTTCTCCACGACATCACGCCATTTCGCCCATGCATCCTCACCGACCTCGTTGTACGTGCACACGGGCCAGTCACTGCCGAACATGATCTTGTCCGCGCCGAACGTGGCCAGGATGATGCCCAGCCAGCCCAATGTGGACTGGAAAATGTGCGATACCGATGCCGTCTGGAGGCTGGCAGGCATCTCGTTGAAGGCACCCGAGAGCTTCATGTACGTCTTGCTGCAGGTGGAGAGGGTGTAGATGGCGGTGCGCCAGGCGTGGAAAGCCGGGTCGGATGTGATGTTGTAGATGGCCAAGTCTGGTTTGCAGAGGTGATCTGTCGTCTCCTTTAGCAAATATTCTTCTCACAACCCGCAGCGCGGCTGGTTCAGTCCGTCATTGCACTCACTCAAGATGAAGGTGACCCTCTCTTCCTCTGGCACGCCGTCGTGGGCCTTCTCAATCATGGCGAGCAGTTCATCCAGTTGCTGCCGCCCCCGCCGGTGGTGGTCGATACCTACCTCGAACACGAGACCCTTTCGACCAAGCAGCTTGAGACTCTCAATGAACTTGTCCTGCACCATTGTCCCGTGGGGCTTGTCTTGCACGAGGTACCTGAACCCCTTCACCTTGGGCCACGCCTCACCGGCCGTCTCCTTGACCTTGGCGATGTATTTCTCCAGCACCTCGGCGCCCGAAGGCATAGGCGCCCAGGGGACGATGCCCAGGCACAGCTTGGCGTCGTCCTTTTCCACGCCAATGTCCTCCTCACTCGGCTCACCGAGCGCCACCCGGCTGAGCGTGGCGACCTCCTTCAACGGCAGTTTCCAGCCCTCCTCACCGGCGTCCAGATCATGCTTGACGTCGACCTCGACAAATACAAAGCCGAGCAGTGAGGGCGCGGATTTGGCGGCCTCTTTGAACTCGGGTAGAAACCGCGCCCCTGAGACGATGGGCTTGGTGGGGTCGTACCAGTTGTGGTTGGGCAGGTCGGCTTCGCGGAAAAGATGAATGTGAGAGTCAATGATGGGCAGGACCAGCTGCTGCTCCTGAGATTCGGCCATTTTGGATGCAGTCAGAAGAACGTCGAGGCTTCGACGACGACAGGAAGTGACTGGAGGCAGAGCGGTGTTTGTTGCGGTGGTAAAGCAGGAGAAGATGCGTCCGGTCCTTGACAATGGCACACTGATTAATGCGGGCCCTAGTTGTGTCGTGTGCTGTCCTGGATGAGGCAGTAATGGGTGAATTGAGGTAAAGTATGATGTGGGAAAGAGCGAACGATACAATTATCGGTGAGATGGAGCCCGAGAGGCAAGAACGACTGGTCTCCTACTCCAAAATTCATGGAGGAAGGGACAATGGTGGTTGGCCATCAACCCCATCCCGCGTATGTTGCCCCTCCATCTCAGCGCTACAGACAACTCACAGGCGGGCGCCGACCCACAATACTTTTCTCGAGATGTTCCGAAGGCTCGAATCGCAGGGCGCCTACTTACAATTATCCAGTCCCGTCGGTTAATATCTTTAGTCCACTTCATCACTCAACACATCAATCACTCCGATCAACTACACTTTGGCACGCATTATTCGGTATCAGTAGAGTAGATTCAGATCGGCTGTCTACTGAGTTGACCTGCAGCCTCTTCCTTGACATTTGCTGCTACTTGCCTGGCTAGCACAGGACTGTCTCATGGCAGACAGAGTCCAGCACCAAATCCATCCTTGTCTCACGAGACGGGCGTCCAGTTGGGAGGACGTGCTCGTGATCTCTTGACTATGTACAGCCGGAGGAGGGCTCCGGCAGTAAAGAATTTGAGAACGACTCGTGAAGACGTCCATCAAAGAAAGGGGGCGAGAGTGGGGTAAACGCTCATTAATCATCATCAACAGACGTGATCGTGGAAAGAACTAACAACTCGCGAGAAGGGCGGAAAACGTCACGCTCCTTAACTCGACGAGGGGTCGCAGCACCGACCCAATCGTTACACATGCAGCAAGAACGGCGTTCCCAAGGTCCAGCCCGGGAAGGGGGCGTGCCGTCCAGCGTATGTGGGTGAAGGGGCGTGTGTTCATTACGAGAGAGTAGAAACAACAACAGGACAATGGCCACAAGTCTGTGCCTCTCGACGTACGTGTCCTCATGAGACGACGATGCCGTTGCGGCGGCTGCGGACGGGCTCGTAGTCCTCCTCTTCCTCCTCGGACTCGCTGATGGTGCTCGAACAGTCGGAGCTGTCGTCACCGCAGCGCGAGCCGCCACAGTCCAGCTTGACACGGTCGCCCTTGCGGGTGATGCCGTAGCGCTCGCACGTGCATGAGCTGCAGTTGGAGCCGGGGGTGCTGTAGCCGGACAGGGAGGAGTTGGGCGAGGAGCTGTCGGACCGGTAGGACAGGGACGACGCGTTGGAGGAAACGGGCGAGGTGGTGAAGTTGGTGAGGACATCCTCGTCGTCGAGACCAGCGGAGCCGAGGCGGGCGTTGAGCTCGTCCATCTCCTCCTCGTCGTAGTAGTTGGCCTGGAGGATGTGCTTGGTGGCGTGCGGCGACATGGGCTTGGGGGCCTGGATCTGGGAGATGGAGAGGGGACGGCCCTTGGGGATGTCGACGGTCAGGGACTTGCGCGAGGAGCGCGAGGACGACTTGGACGAGGACTTGGACGACTTCTCCTCCTTGGCGTGGCGCGAGGACGACTTGCTGCTGGACTTGTGGGACGACGACTTGGACGACGACTTGGACGACTTGCCGGTGGGGACGTCGAGGATGTTCAGCTCACGGCCCGTGGTGGGCTCGACGGTCGAGTCCTCGCTGGGGTTGTGGGCAACGTGGTAGCCGTCAATGATGTAGTAGTACCAGTAGCGTTGGCCGGGCTCGAGAGTCGACGACTGGAAGCGGAAGGTACCCTTCCATGATCCGGACTTGGAGGAAGACTTGTCCTTGGCGAGGGGGAGCTGTCCAGCGTAGCCGTCCCAGGAGCCGAGCAAGTGAACGGTCTTGACGCCGGCGGACACGCGGAGAGAGAAGGACAATTGTGTGGACGACATGATTTCTGAAGTTGATTTCTGTTTTGGGTTGATTCCTCGTAAAGGGTGTGCGAAGACAAGTTGCGATGATGTGGAATTAGTGAGCAGGTTGGTGATTTGTTGGTATAGTTGGCGAGCAAGAAAAATCCAGTTTCCGTTATTAAGGGGTTGTTAATGCAAAGTTTGATCAAATAAAGTTTGTGTAAAAGAAGTATCGTCTCTAAGCTGACCGGCAACTTGAAGTGGTGATGGTGAGGTTTGTTGATATTAGAGACGAAGTATTAAGAAAAGGAGTAGAGACCAGCTCTGGGGAAACAGCACAAGGGGAGGGAAAGGGGAAACAACGAAAACCGAGATCCAAGATTGAAGGGCTTGCTGACCAGAGAAGGAAGAGAGAGAGAGTAACAAAGGGCTGTTGGTTGCAGCGGCGCAGCTAATATATGGAATGAGGGTGGCCGTGACCATGGTCGACCACCCGGGCCCGTCCCTGCGTGGCCTTGGATCCCCTCATCTCATCCATCCTCACCACAAGCGTGATGGAGCCGAGTCAAAGTCGCGCACCATGCCATTGCCGTCCGCTGTTGCATGGCCTAGTGTCCTGCGATGCGTCCACCCATCAAAGACGCGGCCAATAGGCACCACAGGGACATGGAAGGCTTGAGGAGAGACTGAGGGCATCGAAGCACAGTGACAACGGCCGGTCACACCGCGCCCACTAAACCGGGCGGTTAACTTGCAGAGAGAGCTGGTCGATCTGCAGAAACCCCGCCGGCCCCCAAGAATAGACACAGACTATGCCAAACTGTGGACATGATGGCCTGCAGTGGCTGGCATATCCCGTCGTCAGGCGTCTATTCCCCAGACACCATTGGCTCGCCGTATGAATCGGCTACCAGCTTGTCACCACGCCAAGCGACCAATCAGATGACCTCATGGCAACCTTTGAACGGCTGCCTCTGCATGAATCATGCACGGCATTCGATGGTTTGTTCAACTATTCTCGTCTGGTACCTTACCGTCTGCCGTTGATGACCGATGCTGTGTGACCTTTCTTCTCGAGGGGCCCATTGACGATGGCAACTCCATGGGTCGGTCACGCAGCTTCATGCTGCTGAGTCCTGCATGCTGCATTGTCCGGCATGCCTCATTCGCATCGGGGCGCGAGACATGTCGGCCGCTTGATGAAGCGAGCCGCCCACAGTGAATATCCACAGCTGTGCGGTGCTGACAGTGAAAGAAGCATGGGCTGACGTGCTCAGGTAATATGAGCACAGCAGTTGGAAGTGAAAGACTTGGTAATTAGAGCGCTGGATGAGACAGATGCAGGATACCCACAAGTGAAATGCATCACGTGAACGCCCGTCTGATACGGGTCTTTGTGAACGCGTCCACCCCAGGAAGCAACGCGCACGTAACATCCATATCTGTGAGTCTCACGCTATTAGTCACCACGAAGAGAATTCTTCTGGTGCAGCCTTTGTCGGGCCTGTGAGTCAACGGGTAATTGGCTCTCCGCACACCTGCCAGCGCCGGGCAAGAACCAGCAACGGGGAGAGCAGTCCTATCTAGAGTCTTCGCGAGCTAACTTGACAAGACAGTCTGCACAATACATATCGAACATAAGCCTAGACCGCAGTCCAGTATGACCAGAAACGCAGTTCACGATCCCCTGATAGACGAAGTCACTGCCTACGTCAGGGAGTACATGTCACATTACGACCCATCCCACGACTTTCGCCACATCCAGCGCGTCGTGCATCTCGCCATGCTCATACAAGCCGATGCCTCTTCGCCACCAACATCACGTCCCGTCGTCCACCTCGCCGCGCTCATGCACGATGTGGGCGACAAGAAGTACCTCAAACCCGAAGAGGATGCGTCGACCCTCGTCGCCTCCGTACTGACGTCGCTGGGCGCGGACTCGGAGCTCGCGCAGACGGTGCAGACCATCTGCCTGAGCGTGAGCTATTCGTCCGAGGTCAAGGATCCCGCACACGTGGCACGCTTGATCGAGCGGCACCCCGAACTGGCCGTCGTGCAGGACGCGGACAGGCTCGACGCCATTGGCGCCGTGGGCATCGGGCGCGCGTTCACCTTTGGGGGCGCAAAGTCTCGTGACTTGAGCAACACCATGGAGCACTTTGATGACAAGCTTGTGCGACTCGAGGGTATGATGAAGACGGCCAGGGGAAGGGAAATGGCTGTGGAGAGAGCACAGAGGCTGAGGCTAATGCAGACCTGGTGGAAGGAAGAGACCCAGGGGATAGAAACCAACTAATGTGAAGCTACTGATCAATTGACTGAGCTTCTGGATCATCAGCACTAGACTTGTGGGGAACACTGAGCACGTTGGTCGAGCATGGTAATTACCAAGCTTGCGGTTTGGTCTGTTTGAGGCACAGCGGCTGACATGTGCCACACTAGGCCAATCTCACGTCAGAGCTTGTTCGGTAATGTCGCAGACCACTATGGATCAGATTGCATTACACCAAGTTACAAGTCCGATAACTGGATTCGCAACGCCCTATCGGGGGGTTCGTTCCAATCACCATGCCCGCTGGATGTTTGGGGATGTGGTGGCTTAGGCGCGCACCTTGAGGGACACCCCTGGTCGTTCACGCGTCTACCATCTATTACATACGGTGTTTCTCATCGCCATCTTCTTCACACGACCTTCTTTCACAATATGTGAGTTTGGTCTGATCGCAGCCTATTGAGAGCAGCCTCAGCCTTGCCCATCAGCTGTAGCCCACAACAACCACTTAGACGATGGACACCCTCCCGTCCGAGCTCGTCCTCGAGATCCTGACCTACCTACCACCACAAACCATGAAGACCATACGTACAGTGTCGCGATCCTTCCATGCGCTGGTCCCAATCCCCGACTTCTCGCTGCTTGCGTCTTTCCTGGATCCCGAGACAGCCTTGTCTACCATCGTGACAGCATCTGCAGACCTGTCCCGCCGACCCAGGTCGATCTGGTCACCGCACTGCGCCGTACCTACATCAGTACCGCTACTACCAGATTTTATGAATGTGTTGTGGATTGCGTTGACAGGCAGAGCACCGGGGAGAGATGTGCGGATGGAGGATGTGAGAGTAGTGAGCGGGATGGATGTCACCACGGGAACGTTGCAACAGGCGCTGTTTCGGTGGGTGCTATACTTGAGCTATCGGACGGAGAAGAAGATACCCCATATGTGGATTGTACATCCACGGACAGCATAGTTGCTTGGGCACAGGAATGTCGTAGCAGGATCGACTCTGGCGTTCCGACCTGGGAACTTGACTCTGGGAGTATGTTCAAACACACAGAATGATATTCCGCATGTGTGAAGAATGATATTCCAAGAAATTTGTGTGCTTATAATAAGATGTTGTGCTGACATGTTGCAGTACATGTACCTGGTATCTATGTTATTTCTGAAAGGACCCGTGTGCCCTGAAATGGCTATTACAAGTTTATATATGTCCCACCTAACGCCAGTACCCCGTTGAATGCGGAAGAGAATTGAAGATGCTGATGCTGATGCCGTTCCCAGGTCCTGTACCATATCGCCCCAGGTCAACCCAAGGTCAACCCAAGGTCGAGCCCTTAGAGGAGGAAGAAGACACCGGCCAAGCCAGCACCAGCAAGGGCAGCTTTGCCGGCGTTGTTCAAAGCAGCGGCACCAGGGACGTTCGGCTCACCCGCGTTTGTGGGCGCCACGGGAACGTTGGTGGGCTCGTTACCACCGCTGCGGGTGCTTGTGGATACAGTGCCGTTGCCCCCATGAGGAGGAGGGACGATGGTGCCGTTACCGGGAATGCGGGTGCTCATAGTAGGCATGGGGATAGGCGTGTAGGTCGTCGGGTTGTGGGGGTACCCCGACGAGCACTCCGTGACGGTGGCAGTCTGGCTGACGGTGGTGGTGCGAGTATACGTAGTGTTGTGGTGCCAGCCGGTGGCCTGGGCGAGAGTTGCGGTGGCAGCAACGAGGATGGCTGAGGCCTTCATGTTGGGTGAGAGTGTTGATTGCTCGTGTTGTGAAGCGGATGCGGTGTGGTTTGTGTAGTAGTATATGTGCGCAGGATTGCCTTTGAACGAGGGACAGGCGATATAATGTACGTGTATAAATGCGTGTTGAGTAATGACGGGCAAGTGGTGGGAGGGCGGACGATCACGGCAATTATATACTTACACAGGTCAGAGCCTTCACCTAGCACAGGTGCCAAACAAAGGCATGGTGGCTCGGTGATGGATGAGTCGAAACTTTCAGCCCTGCCTGATGCGGAATGGATGGCTAGAGGGTGGCCTACGCCACCCTCCGCAGCTCGCGCGGTCCGATATCTCTGTCAGGGCCCGTTCAGCCCATCCACCACCACGACGGATAGGCGAGTGACTGACGGTACGATTCAAGACACATCTGCCTGCCCCAGCCCATGTGAGCAGGAGAAGCTAAACGCGATACGAGGTCGCCTTGCCTTGGAGATGTCGGTTTGACTGGTTCACGTTATGCTTGTCAGTAGTCATGTTTGGCCGGCACTTGTTCGACTTTGGGGAGTGGCAATCGACATTGAGGGATTTCCCGTGCTAACCACAACGGGAAAGAGGGGTGCGTTGCTAATTCCGGCTTGGGTAAGGGTCCTGCGCATAACGTCATTGTTCTACGCATGTAACTATCTTCGTCGACGTCGGACGGGGAAAAAATCGAAAGAAAATATGCCATATCACATCATGACCGAGGCGCAGTCCAGGCCTCCAAGATCAACTTCATTATGCAGACTTGGAGGACATCTCGCATTCGTATGCCCTGGGTGTCCATGCGCTGCTCGAAGATTCTGCACGTGCGTACGTAGGCGTGCAGTGCGAAATGCCAAGACCGGCACAGATCGTACTCGCAGTATACGATGTTCCTGGAGGAGTCAGGTCATTCCCACAAATGGATCTTTATTCTGCGAAAGGGGAGCTGAGTCACAACGGGCAGATGAGCGCTCCTCGTGTCTTCGGTTCCGCGTGGAAGATGAAAAAAGAATTGCGGTTGCTATTATTGGCATCAAAGAAACGAACGCTGCTCATGTGGCTCATGACCGCGTGGTGGCTGGAATGTGGAACCAGGCCCAGATCCGTCCCTCAGCCACTCGAGCCTCATCAGCTGCGCAACAACCGAGCGAACTTGTTTGTCCCTGCCTCTTCCCTACTGTCTACTTGGGAATGATCGACATTCACGCGAGATGATGGTCGTCGCGGACTCGTGTCGACGCGTAGTATTGGGAACGACGCCGGTCCTCTCACGTATTGATGACTCTTTGAGTCTGAGGCATTAGTTGCGCACCGAATAGCATAAGGGGCTTGCCAAACCAAATTGCGACTGTCCTTGTCGGAGCAAAACACTGGAACAGCCATTTCATGTCTGTCTGTCTGTCTTAACATGTGAGCATATTTAGTACGGTTGCCTTCTGTAGGCTCTCGAGATGTGAGGATCAAGTTGAATAGGGTTTCCGCTAACACCACTCCATCTAGGTAGTCTTGGCATCACAAAGGACTAGACTCATTCATGGCAACCGCGATCATCTTGGTATTTCTCGGTTAAGTTCAAAGGGACACGATTGCGAGTATCGCCTCGGAACGCGTCTGTGCGAAATCAGGTGCTTCTGACCTGCCGTACGAGCGAGACCCGAGCTACCTGGATCCGTAGATCTGTGGAATGTCAGATCTGGAATACTTGTGGAAACTCGGTCTGTTGCCATGTGGTGGGCAACGAAAAGATCAGTTCTGCCGGCCCAAAGACGATTTCTCATAACAACAGGGCTCCTTGCTTGATGCAGGAGCTATTCGTGTAAGTCGAGCCCCAGGGTTTCGCTTGCGGAGGACTTGCTGCCCAGCTAAGTCTTGATTTTGAACCCGGCTGTACGATTAGTGCTTTTGGTGTATCATTATATCTTCTGGTGGAATCAGTGTACCAAAAGGTAACCTAACACTTGTCCGTGCTTCTCATGCATGTCTGCGGACACGATCGTGCCCAGCAGCTACCTGAACATCGCACACTGTCCGTCACAAAAACTCATAATGAAGGACTGGCCATCGTCCATTCGCCTTGCCACTTTCTCAGGTCCAAGCAGGGTACTGTACCCCGGTTTCGAATGGCTTTGGCGATGCGAAACGTGGTGGAAGAAATCAGAAAACAGGGAATCACCGCCTTTGAGTTTCGGGACTGCGATGGAAGCCAAATCGAAGGTTCAATGGCTCCTGGCCTGAGATAAGGCACCGTGGCAGATTAAACAGACACGTACCACGCGGCCACATGCGCCGTGAATACTGTCCAGCGGTGGGCAATTACGTCTTATTAGTGGTGCGGGGCGGACCTAGAGGCCGTGACGGAGGGAGGCTATGAAGCCTGAGCCGTCCATAGTGGGATTAGAGCGCCTGGACGTTTGAGGCAGCTGCATGTACTGGCCAATCACAGCGCGGAAGTCGACTCCTCCATCACCTGGAAGCCCCATTTCCCAGCCACCAGCCTACAGTAGCCCGCATAGCGAGGACTGGATGCACGGCACCCTCCCGCCCGCATCACCGGCCCTCCAGTCTCTCGCACATCCAAGTCAGTCTCTGATCTCATCGGTTCCCCATCATCGCTCCTCCCCAAGATCGCATCGACTCGCCAGACAGACGTCGCTCATAGCTCCTCGCCGACTATGTCGGGTTCGACATGTGCACCGTCCCTCTCTATTTCTGGTCTCCCACGCTTATCGTAAGCACACACCATCCATACAGCAACTGATACGGTTAGAGGGACTGGAGCTCGCCTCTCACTTCTCCCTCTCTCTCCCTGCTGAGCAAGCCGCTGGACGGACAGGCAGTCCTCTCTGTCTGACTCGACATCGACCACACCAACCAAGGGAACCCTGGCCGAGACTACGTTGGAATCTCCCTCGCATCACCATTTCGCCTCATCGCTCTTCTCTCTGTGTGCGTGCCCTGCTGTTTCCGCACGCTCACCTAATCACCACGTACTCTGAACCGCCAGTGAGCGAGCGCACCACTCATCGTGCGCCAATTTGCCAGTGTTGCAGTCAACATCGAGCTCGACCACGACAACCCTGCCTTAAGCATGCGCTACCAGCGCGGCCACGTTGACGGTTCCTGCACGTAGCCTGCGACAATCTCTGGCCGTTCCGGCGGGCATTATGCTTGCGACCGCCTCTCCTGTCCCCGTGCCTGCTGCGCCCGTCATGCCAACTGCACACAACACCTTTGACCCTGACCAAAGCCCGGGTCAGCTTCAGCTCAAGAGACACAAGGTGCTGCCCAGGCCTGGTAGCGTCCGCAGTCAGGGTCCAGACGCGTCTCCTTCCAAACGGTCACACAGATCACAGAGGTCCCAATCTGAGCTCGCCATCGACACATCCGTTGCAGGCACGACCTCGCAGACCTCGAGCCCACGAACCCTCAAGCATCAGCCGAAACGTATAGGCGCTGGCCCGGAGCTGCCACCAACTCCTCCCACGCATTCACACACGTCGTCCAGCAGTCAATCGGCGTTGCCGTCTAGTCCAACCCTCGCTGTCAGCTTGAGTCCTGGCCTGTCATCTCTCCAAACCCCCAAGAATGAATCCGACCTGGCCCCAGCAACACCGCCGGACCAGCGCAGTCCTCTGACACCCGATGTCACGCCACCTCAGCCTGCCACTCGATTACAGGCACCTCGCTTGACGTTGGCGCATAGGGGCGCCAGCCACGCAACGACAGTGGACTCAAGAGCAGACTCGTTCCAAACTGCGCGAGAGGACCCAATATCGTCCGAAGGCGAGGACCAGGGGGACGGTACTTCCACAGCTCGACCTGCTTTATCATCAGGTGGGTCATCAGGAACGATCTCGCGTAAAGCCTCCGATACGCCCTGCTTCCGTATGCCAAACCCGAAGGCCTTGGACTTGGCCCTCGCCCAGCTCACTGCTTCCGCACAACGGCAAAACGAGGCTCGATTTGAACGATCAAATACTGTAGTGGAATCCGGAATGGGAAGGAACGTGACTGTCATGAAACGGCAACCTGCACCAGATGCTGTGGCAGCCTCGGGCAGCCGCAGATCCGTCGTGAAGGACCCTTTGGCACTTGGCGCAAACAACGCTACGCAAGCTGTTCGTCAGATGTCACTCAATGATAAGGTGTCACCAGGCTCCTCGTCCAAGAGCCGATCCGCAACGAGGTCGTCTTCAGGACCATCACGATCAGATACATCGGTGTCCACGAGCTATCAAAGATCGTCTGGAGTTTCCTCCCGCTCAACCAGGTCTACAGTTGAAGCATTTCTCATCGAGGCCCCACGACCACCTCAGCGACAGAGGACTTTGCGTCATGTTCAGAAGCAGAGCTCTTTGCGTCACCTGGTCTCCGCGCCTCGTGGCCAGCCCGCAGCAGCTGCTGCAGCAGGACCTGCCGTCGAGAGAGGCAGATCTACTGTCTCGAGACCCCCCCTGGCGAACCTGCGGCACGAGCGCGCAACTAGGCACGACAGTTTTGCTTCCACCGCATCAGCGGGCCCTACGGCAAGCGGGAAAGCCCGACGCGATGTCTCAAAGAACGGCGGGATTCCTCTGGCCATAGTCGCTGACCGGCGATCATCAAGATCGCAGTCGAGGGAGCCCTCTCTTCGATCCACGTCTAGCAGGCGGTCGCGGAGGGCGCAGAGTGTAAGCTCGGCTCCTCCTGAGACACCTCCACTTGAAACACCCTTCAGCCAAGAGTTCGCACCAAATCTAGATCGCCTGGTCCCCCGTTCACGAACGTACTCGGTATCAGACGCGTCTGATACCCGAACGATGGATTTCCCTCCCATGATCCCCGTCAGGTCATCGTCACTATCAGCACCCACTAGCAGAAACGTGTCGAGGGCTGCTTCGATGACAGTAGGCAGTGCTCAGACAAGGGATGCTTTGCATCGACAAACGTCAGAGCCGAGGCCACCAATTGTCACCACACCCCCAGGGGTGGTGTCACACAAGAAGGGTGTACAACACCTGATGACAGACTACTTCAAACCCACGCCCAAGCTGACCTCCACGCTTCCACTTGAGAAGGGAACTGCTCCCGTAGTGACGGGAGATTCGAAGCGAGTGCTGTCACCTCCCCGTCTGGGCTCGCCTCTTTTCGCATCCCCCAAACCGGAAAGCGAGGCAGATGGTCGCTTTGACAGCGACCGACAAGAGGATGGTCAGTCTTCCCGTAAGTACTCTTCCAGGAACACACCGTTCTCTATCGCTTCGCTAGAGACGAATGCAACCAATCCTGAAGTCTCGGAGGCGCAAGCGGTGCACATGTACTCGCACCAGAACTCGTCGCTGTTGATGGTCAACAACAGCTCGGGTCGGCCGTCCGAGGCGACTGATAGCCCCCAGGAAGGACAGGATGATCGATTTCATTTGCCGAGCATACAACCGCAAACCGTCCAGACCACGCCGGCCCCAGAAAACGACGTGCCGATGACTCCTCCACAGCCCACCTTTCTGCTGGAGGATGTCGACTCGCCGCTTCGTAACCCCAGGGCGCCTCCTGAGCCACCGGTCGAGCCACCTGCCATCACTTTCACTTCGGCTACACCATCAGGAGCAACGCCGGCTCCAGATAAGGCTTTGCAGCTCGGCAACTACTTTGACACCATGGCCGAGATGCCTTCGCCTGAGCGCCGACGTTCCATCGTGGGGCGGGCCTTTAAGCGTGGTCGGAACGACTCGACGTCCTACCCCCCGAACTCCTCACGATCAACAGGTCTTCTGAAGAGGGCCTTTTCTCTCTCACGGAGGAGAAATGCCTCGAACCATCGCCTGAGCTATAGTATGGAGTATCCATCGGAAGTCATGACACCTCCAGAAGAGGACAAGCTTCATCCCTTCTGGCGTTCGCAATTCGACGATGATGACTCTGACGATTGGGACGATCGGTTTGATGGACGGGACGAAGAGCACGACGAGGAAGATGAAGGTCATATGCGGTATCCGCCTATCGACAACCGACCATCCAAGCCAAAGCGCCGCTTCAGTGAGAAAATGAAGCGCACTTTCGCCATCATGCCAATCCGGGACGACGAGGAGCACAGTGCTGACGACGTCTACGGACCCGAGCGACGCACGATTCGTCGAACGCCTAGCGGGAATCTGCGCGTGATGCGTCGTCGCAACAGCGCCTCATCCCTACGACGACGCTTCAGTCAGTCAGACCGGCCTGAGGCAGCGCCCGAAGAGGATCGTAGCCGGGGCTTCTGGCGCGGCATAAGCTCGAGTGGACGGACAAGGTCAGAGAGCCGGAGGAGGTTCTCTCTTGGCGACCAGTTTGAAGAAATTCAGAACCTATCCAGGAAGCTGAGTGACAGACGACGAGAGAGGCGCACACGAGAGCTGCGCCAGAAAATCAGTGGCCCTCGAGATGTACGCGACGGCGTTGAGGAAATGATCAGATCCAGCAACCAAAGGGAACACGATGAGGAGTACGACCCAGGCGTATATCATCGCGTCATATGATAAGGACAACGTTGAGGGAAATGACGTTAGTATACGAAAACTACCAGACATACTGGTTCTCGAATGGGCTTTGATTTTTTGTTTTTGCGATTTTTACGAGGTACGATTTTACGCTTTTCTGGCGACGCATCCGATGATTTCGACTTCTGTTTCACCGGTCTATAAGTCAGGCCCTATGAACATACGAAAACACGCCGACTTGAGAGGGAGGGGAGGGATTTTGGTTTGGCTATGATATTTGCTCGACGAGACGCAGGCGCGCTTCGCAGCCGGGTGTCATTTAGGCGCCATTCGAATGCATGGGAACGTCGCGTGTGTACTATAGATATTTACGATGAGCTATGATACCAATGAGGCGCTGGGACGGTTTTTCTTTTTGGCTTGCAGTGCTTTTTGTCGTTGCTTTTTGTGACGACTACATACTATGACTCCACCATGATAGTGTGGCCACCGAATGCGGCGGCCATTGAAGCGCGCTCGGTATATCCTTCCTGAACGCCAACCCAAAGTAGTAAATTATCGATTGCTCCTGTTCGTCCTCTCAGCGTACTCGTGCCCGTCTTCTATCGCCTATCGTGGCCAGGGGGGGGACCCTGCGCAAACCCGGGAGGTGGCGGTCCTCCAAACCCTGGGCCAGGAGGTGGCATCCCAGGGAAACCGTGCGGCAGCGGCGGCCCACCCTGCTGACCGGGCGGGAAAGGAGGGAAGCCACCTGGTGGAGGAAATGGGAGACCGCCCGGGGGCATGGGCAGATTTGGAGCGCCGGGGAAAGGAGGCATCGGAGGTACACCACGGCCACCGGGAGCTGTAACATTCTGCGTCAGTATAAAAAGCTGGCCGGAAGGGGACGGCGAAGACCTACGAGGCATGTGTCCTGGCATACCAGGGAAAGGAGGCGGCGGACCACCAACGGGAAAGCCTAATGATGGTGGAGGAAAGCCATGGCCAGGTTGGTTCTGAGGGAGCATAGGGTTCGCATGCGCTTGGCCCTCGGCCGTGTAGGAGGCTGTGATGGAGTCTATGACGCTCTGCGCCTTTTCATGTCCGATTTCTGTAGTATCCTCGTCAGCTTATTTTCTTCCGCGTCTGTTCCCTCTTGCATGAGACGAGGTAGGTGGGTGATTGACGCACGTTGATAGTAGTCGACTACATTGCGCAGATGGTTCTTTCCGCTGTTGTGCGCCCGGCGGACAGACATGGAGTCATGCGTGAGGTAGACATCGCAGTAGTCGCCTGTCGTGTCGTTAGTCGCAAGATCAGAGCACGCGCGCGCGGTCGCATGTCGGTGGATAGGGAAGCTTACAGAAGACTATGAGTAATTAGCAAAATTCGCTTAGACTGAACTTTGAAGCGAGGACTTACATTTCGGCATCTTGACGGCGAAGGAACGTGTTGGCGGTGGTTCGATGGAAGAAGCTGGGTTTGGGTTCCGAGTCGCATGATGTTGGCCATGGTGGGCACGTGATCTCGAATTAGGTGGGTTTACACCCGGCATGTCACGAAGTTCATCACCAATGGTCACAACGTCAATAACTAATCAAGGGACGAACCGCTAATCAGTCTGCTGACACAGCAAGAGGAGACTGTTTCTTACTCTGACATAGTCAAACATGTAAATCTTGGTAAGTTACACCTGTGGTTGGTCCAGGACTATGTCAGAGGAATACTTGTGAATCTTGACGGATAGATGGAACGAACCGTCGACAACGCCACCACGCGACTTCAATGCAAACGCATGGGTACTATGAGCTGGAATCAACCGCAAGGTACGCTTTTCAATACTGAAAAGAGAATAGCAACTCGAAACTTAATCAAGCTACCTAGCCAGCTTCTTTTCCTCAGATTGCGACAGTAGAGGCTCAGGCTCAAACGGGCAGTCTCCCTCTGCAAGCTGCACGTGACCTCGATTTCCCCAGCTGTCAATGGTCCTGGTGGACACCTTGCAACTCGGAGTCCCTTAGCTCGAATGCCAGCTATTGCCCCCTGTTAGGCTGGTCGCTTCCCAGACACGACAAATTCACGAATCGACGAGCTCGCCTCGGCCATCCTCCCTGAGCACATCATGATGGCGTTCCCCCAATCGTTCCTGCAGCTCGCCTGCAGCCTGCTGCTCCTCCTCGGCGTCGCGCAGGCCCTCAAGTTCGACATCGCCGCGCACACGGGCAAGGAGAACATGAAGAAGGAGAGGTGCATCCGCAACTTTGTCGCCAAGGACACGCTGGTCGTCGTCACGGCCACGGTTGGCGGGACAAAGGGCGACGGCATGATGGTCAACATTCACGTAAGGAGTGAAACCCTCCCCCCACCCCCGGGCCAATCTCAGACGAGAGCAGGACGAGGACAGCGCAGCTAACACGGGCCATTTTTTGGGTATAGATTCGTGATATGGAAGGAAATGAGTACGGCCGACCGAGGGACGTTGCGGGCGAATCGAGGACTGTCTTCACATCGCACTCGGATGCCGCGTTCGACGTGTGCTTCGAGAACATCTTCACCAGCTGTACGTTCCCCATCCCTTCCCGGTCCTTGGTCCTGGTGCTAACAGCCAACGTGCAGCCAAGCGTCCGAGCCCCAACACCCGCTCCATCGAACTCGACATTGACATTGGCGCCGACGCCAAGGACTGGTCCGCCATCCAGGCCACCGAGAAGCTCAAGCCCGTCGAGGCCGAGCTGCGCCGCATCGAGGAGCTGACCACCGAGGTCGTACGCGAGATGGACTACCTGCGCTCCCGCGAGCAGAAGCTGCGCGACACGAATGAAAGCACAAACAACCGCGTCAAGTGGTTCGGTTTTGGCACAACCTGGCTGCTGGTCATCTTATGGGCGTGGCAGATTGCGTATCTGCGCAGCTACTTCCGCTCCAAGCACTTGATCTAGATCATGCTAGGCCAGGGTGAGAGGGAAAAGCGGGCGGCGACCTGAATGAACAGTGAAGCAAGCTGGCCTGCTGGCGCATCTGTGTAGAACGAGGTCTTTTGAGGATATGGGCACGATGGCGTTTGTAAAGCAAGATCACATAGCATGGTCACGGGATGATGAAAATGCAGGCTATCGCACATGACTAAACACAACACATGCAGATTTCAATGTCCTGTATTTGGGTATCATCGTTGCCTTTGTTAACAAGCCGCTCGGTCCACAGTTGGCAATCTCGAGTCCGGCTTCCGTTTCAAAACAAGACAAAGGTTGGACCCCATGGTCCAACCACGACGCAAAAAACTGAAGTTCCAGACGCCTCGTCTCATCGTTGAATTCATAGCCCTCAGAAGCCAAGCCATATCACCCACCAGTGTCCGGCAAGATACTCCCTAAGCTTCTCAAAACCTCCATTATCGGCATATCCTTGGTCCCAGCTTCCTTCCTCTCGCGCTCCTCGCGTTCTTTGAGCCGTGCTGCGCTCAATTTGAGAACCATGCTTGCTTCGTCGCCCGCCACCAGCACCCTTTGCTCGAGTTTATGGACATTATCTGCGAGCTGGTCCACTTGGAATTCTAGTGACGCTCGTACTTGCCGCAATCTTTCCTCGGTCTTGGCTCGTATCCCAGCGAAGCTTAGGGCCGAGTCGGATAGGTGATTGCGTATCCTGACGTCGTCGTCATCTAGGAGACTGAAGTCGGGAAGCTCTATCTCGCCCGTCTCGAGCTCCGTGTCGGAAAGCAAGCCAGGTTGCGGCGTCGGCGGTTTCCTTATCGCCTGCCATGACTTTTTCTCTTCTTGTAGCCTACGTTGGATTAGCGAATGTCACCCGGGTTTCGCTGAGCGGTTGGATGAGCTCACCTCTTCACGTTTTCCTCCAACTGCACGAGCTTCTCGTCAAGCTCAGTATTTCGAGGATTAGGCTTCAGGACAGCTCGCGCCTTTCGGCCTTCGTCTCGGCTGAACCAATTGGAAAACTCCGATTTGGCCCCAAAGTCCTTGAGCAACTGCTCTTGAATTGCGCGCGCTGTTCCTCGTTAGCGACCTGCTGCCTCTAGCCACCAGTGTAAGCCGACTCACCTCCATGTATTACACTCGAATTAAGAGTGCCATGCGGCGGTTTCTCTGACAGTGCTCGCTCTCCGCACCAGGTCAACAGCTGTTTCATCCGCCGTGGCTCCGGCAGGCCCTCCGCCTCAATGTGCTTGTAAAAGTCCGCCGGTTTCACCTCACGATGTGGCAGAGCTGAGGACCCGTTCTCAATCAGGGAACTTGCGCGCCGTCCTCGTGACCCCAGACTACTTCGCCGGTTCGCGCCGCCCTTTTTGCGCATCTCCTTGTTCCTGTTAATGACAGGCGTGTCGCTCATGGGCAACGTAATCTTAGACGCTTGCGACTGCTCTATCATCGGTGCCGGCGATTGAGGCAATTCTTTGGCTTCACGCGCCGGTCGTCCTCTGCCCTTCTTCCCACCCCGGGTCGCGCCATTGGCTGCGGAGCTCTCATCGCGTGATGCTTCGTCCGGCGTTGGACGCGTACTGCGTCCTGGTGCTGTTTTGGGTGCCTTGGATTTCGGCTCTTCCTCGATGGGCTCCTTCCCAGCCTTGCGCCGCGGCGGTCTTCCCTTGGCGGTGCCTTTGGTCACCGAGAGCACTGCTGGTGGCTCTGGCTCGTCGAGATCCTCCGCAATCGGTTCTGGCACCGGTGCCTTCGCGGCGCGTGCCTTGGGTGGTCTCCCTCTCCCAGCCTTCTTTGTGGTGCTCGTTGGGACCGCTGGTGGTGCTGCGGCCGGCTCAGGCTCATCCGTCTTTGGGCGTTTCGATTTGCGAAAGAATTGGAAGTCGTCGTCTTGTTCATAATCATCCGCGGCTGCTGCCATGTCAGTCACCGGCCCTGTAACATGCGACGCAGGTTCAGACAGACCCGCCAGGCGCTTGCTTTGCCGGCGCACCGGCTGATTCCCCATGCTAATTAAATCAAGCGTTTTCAGATTTGCCACAAGCGTCGTCATGAGTGTATATGTCGGGAACGCATTGATGGCGCCAGTTTCTCGCGTGTCTCCTCAGAAGCCCAGTGGTGTCGCTCGTCGCGTCTAATGGTAGAGTTGGCGTCAGTCGCGTTGGCGACTGCTTCGAGTCGGCGCAAGAGCGGAGGAAAATTGTCAGCGCGAACCAAGAAGATGGCGGTCGACAACCAATGTGCGCGGTTCGATAAAGAATGTTGCATATGGTGGGTGTGATGCTGGTTGTCGCGTCGGCTGGTGATATTTCCCGTAAATGGAGTGGCTCTTGTTGTTTATCTCAAGAGCACCGGAGGCATCGCAGCATGCGCGCTAGTCCGGATCTGGATGTGTACGGAGTATGTACCCCACCATCGACGACGAACGGCTCCCCAGCACGTGACGCCGCATCATGTCAAGTCCTCAGGTTGTGTACAGGCCATAAATACACCGGGAGCTGCGCTTTTCATTTAGGTATTCACCCTGCTTCAACACTTGGCACCCCTTGTTTCAATTCGAAGTAATTAACTCGTATACTATGATGATTGTAAATAGCTTTAAATCACCTCATAAAAACATGCGGTGCACTAGATTCCCGTCACGAGCCTGTTGTGCTTTTCCCAATGGCCGTAGTTCCTTCCCCCACCGTATGCAGCGCCTTTGCCTGTTGCTACATTGCCTTTACCCCGTGTACCAAGTCACCTTTATACATGTACCGAGTCCAGGTACTGATGCGCCCGGATGAACGCCATTTTCAAGCAAACCCATGCATGCCGAGGCATGTCTCCTATACACCAAAACACCAGAGGGTCCAATGTCCCAAATATGTACACTGTGAAGCACCAAGCCATCATCTCGTATCTCGTCGTTGGGAGACCATCACCTCTTTCGAGACGCTATCCCCGAAGGCCACGCCACACGCCGGCTGGACATGGTACTAAGGTATCCAATCGGCGATATGAAGGGGATCACAGCCATGTGAAACGCGGCGGCATCTCAAAGGAGGTTCGCGCTGTCTGCCACAAGGGCAGCGCCTACCGAAGTGATAACCCTCACCGGCCTAGACGACCTGCCGCATAGCCGAGCGCAATTGCGGTTTCATTAAGTTGCGGCTCAGTTTGATTCTCCAGCGCTGTGACTTGCTAAGAGAAGCGCCGTTGCACACCCTGTCCGGCCATCACCTGCTGGTTGGACATGGGGCCCGCCATCTGGTATGGGTTCATCTGCTGGTTGAAGGGATCAGGCTGAGGCACTTGGCCAACTTGGTTCATGAAAGCGCCATGCATGCCTTGTTGCTGGGTAACCGGACAGTCTTTGTGCGCGAGGAGGAGAGTCTTGAGGTTGACGACTTCCTCGCGAAGCTGGGTAATTTGACCCGACAAGGCCTCGTTCTCATTGCTGAACATCTCCACCTTGCTTTGCAAGTTGGCCAACCACTGCTTCTTCCGTTGACGACATTTCAGAGCCGCAACACTGCGAGAATATTAGCTAATGCAATCGAACAGTCTCTGAGAACAACTGACCGGTTGCGTTCCAAGAAGTTTTTGCGCTTCTCCTCGTCAGTCATCTTCGTCTTACCACCATGACCATCATCTTTCATATCGTCTTCGTCGTCAGAAGGCTCAACGCTCATGCCATTGACCGAATTGCCACTGTTGCCTTTGGCCTTCTTGTTCGCCGGCGCCTTTGGCAACGGTTCTTCGGCTTTCCTCCTTCCGTTGGTGGCCTGGTTATTCTTCTTTCCCTTGCCACGAGTAGTGGGCTTTGTCTGCTCGCTTTCGTCTGACCCCATGCTGTGCTCGCTCATGCCTCGCCCCGGGCCTCCGTTCATGGCGGGAACTTGTGCTGAAGCGGTGTGCGCGTGCACTGAAGGCGCGGAGGTCGCGGCAAACTGGTTTGTGCCTTGGGATCCGTTGCCACCATGTGCAAGCATGAAGAGACCGTTGGCAGCGTCGTTATCGTGGGGATCAAAGGTCTTCGGCTCCGCCTTGATGTGGGTGGCGCCGTTCGACATCTCTTGTGGCTGCGTCGTAGCCGGCTGGGACGTCTGCTGACCTTGCTGTGCCTGCTGTGCAGGTTGCTGTTGAGTTTGCTTGTTGTTGTTGTTTTTGTTGTTGTTGTTATTGTTGTTCTGCTGCTCTCTCTTGGCCGCAGCACTCATGGCAGTACGGTGGAAGTCAATGGTGCTCGGGGTCACGCCTCCGCTGATTGATGCGATGAAAGACTGCGAGCCGGGGCTGTTGGTCGGGAACATAGACCCACTACCGCCTGGAGTCAAGCCGGAGCGCAAGGACGACTCGTTGGGCGTAGGGAATCCCCCGCGCAAGTGGTGAGCGTCCCCAAAGTAGTCTTGGGCTGGACCCGATAGCATAGCAGGACTCAGCGGTCCTGTGCGCAGCGACGACCCAGGCCCCCAGTTGAACGGGGTCGTGTTTCCGGGCGGTAGAAGGGAACTTGGCGATGCCAACGTGTGGACAGAAGGTAGCTTGGTACCGCCAGGTGTCTCTGGCTGTCCACTACTGCCTCCGCCACTGAATGATTGTTCGAACGGGTTCGGTTCCAGGCTGAGCGAACCTCCTCCCGGCTGCTGTGAGAAGTAGTCGGCGTTGCCGCTCGCTTGTTGATTCTGCTGTTGACCAGGTCGCGGAGGTGGCGCGAGCGGTTTGGCAGCTTCGGCATTGGCTGGTCCGTCGGTACGGTTGGATGCGTCCGTCTTTGCGTCCGTAGATGCGTCTGTACAAGCCGTACTGTTAGCAAGGATGTCCGCGTGTTGATGAGTAAGTGTTTCGTGTATCCCAAGGCTGAGTCGCAGGCGAGGACAGCGAGGCTGCACACTGTTGCATCATACCCTTGGGCGCGACAGAGATGACGAAAGAGTACAAGAAGGAACTTAGGGCTTACCAGATTGCTGAGGCGGTTTGTTTGCTTGGGGGGGAGTGTTGGATTCACCTCTGTTCGAGGTGTCGATCGCTGTAGTCCCCATGACGACAATGATGTATACTACCAAGTATGACGATGGAGAGGAGGAAAGGGTGGGGAGGGCGGACAAGAGTCAAAGCTGAGGCAGCGAACGGGTTGGGGAGGAGAGGAAAGTCTAATGACGAAAGACTAGGGCAGGCGGCAAAACAAATGGTAGTGTTGGGATAGGTCAGGTAGCGTAGAAAAGGAATCTCTTGCTCTCCGCCTGTGGCATGGACTTTGTTTCTGGAGGGCTTGAAGGCAAAAAAACTCCGAGAGTCCTCCTCTCGTATGGATAGAGTTGTGTCGACGCAGCGCGATCCTGCCACCCAACCGACTGAGACGCGATTGTCTGGGTTGGTCTGTCGTGGATCTGCTAAAATTGCAGCGATCCCTCACCGAACGGCACTAATGGCGACAATGGCCTGTTCCGACGACAACGAGCGTTGCGCAGCGCGCAAAGAAGCCAAGTGCAACTACAGATCGTATGGGATCGAGCCAAGTCAACAGTCGCAAACGGTGGGCTTGGTTGTCGCTGCTAGGGAATGCTGAACGCGGTGCAGTGCGGTACGTGCTGAGGTTCGTAGACGCATCGATTGAGGGAAGACGTCAGAGATGACGTTTTCAGCAGCGAGGGAAAGTCGCAGGAAAAAATAAGAAGGCGGCGGTTATCTTGGTCTTGTGTGGCCGGCCGCTCCTCTCCGTCTAGAAATGCTACCTGGTCTGAGCTCGGAATTCTGGCATCGGATTGGTCCACCGCGTCCTCGATCGACCGGGGGTTATTGCCTTCAGGGGACGAATGCCTGCTTACAAACTCATTACACACTGTAACGGCACTGTCCGCTGTAATTACAAGCAGCAGTTCACTCGATGGAGGGTGGGGGATCACGATCAGGACGAAGCAGGGTGTGCCTGTCGCATCAGAGGCTGGCCAGCACATTCCCAAGCCAGCTCTCCCTTTGCAGTCGCCGACTCCTCTCACAGCAAATAATCTCACTACAAGACTTATCATGATTGTCCCTTCATTGATCGTCGCGGGACATTGCGCCGCCTGGTCTTCGCTGCCCAGCGGTTCTTCTGGGCAGATCGCGCCAGTACCACCACCCATGTTGACAAGCAGTGCGGCAGGATTCGTACTGTGCGAATGGACTTTCATAAAGAGCCCACCCTGAGGAGCAGTATCCGCGTTTAATTGGACGATATGTCTGCAACGAAGCACACATCCCTGCCCACCCTCACGCGTCTGCCGGGTTTTGTCGTCGTCATAGGTCAAAGGAACGGAGCAGAACATCCCACATGTGATGACGCCAGGTCGAGACCGTTTTCTACGTTGTCGGTGAGAGAGCTTCCAGTGCCTTCACAACAGCCGCTAATTAGACAGCAGGAGCCCAAATGTCAATGTTCCACAGTTCAATCATTATTATCAATGCAGCGATTATGGTGGCGAACTGGAGATACGCAATCAACTCTGCCGAGTCTGACTGGATTCGGCCGTACTCCCGTTTTGGACTGCTTCAGCCTTCAATAATCTTTGCCGTTTTGCATGCGACTAGCCGTTTCGTCAGGTCATCTATTCTTTGGTCATTCGACTCAGGGGCTTCTAAAATGTTTAGAATCTGAGGAGAAAGGGTGTCATTCTGGACCTCGACTTCTTCGATGAAGCTCGTAGCAGCGCAATAAAGAAGCCCCTCGATGACGTCAGAACCTCGTCAATACCTCTGCACCGCTCTCGGATTGCTCGCTGCACGCGGAAGTATTGGTCCAGAGATTTGACGATATCGCGACAGCGTGCGACTGGAGTATTCGCGTACATACTACGTATGTCTGACGGCAAGGCGAAAAGCTCGGAGGTTGCTGATAACATCTGTTCCTTGTTCGAGCGCGTCGCGTGGCTCGGACTTTCCCATCCGCCGCAGCACACTCTACGCTCAAATCGTTTTGATTCCGTACCCTCTCCGAGATCTGCGCGTCGAGCCTCTGTCGACACTGCAACATACTATTCGATCCGGGCGCCTCGCAAGCGCTATCGCCTTTAACTTAGGCTCACGATGCAAAACGGGGCCCCGCGGCTTTAGGTGTAACTATGACGTATCCCTGTATCCGTCTCAGCCGTCCCCCACGTTGTACGAGTAGTTCGCGACAACACCCACTGAGTGTCGAAGTGGATGTATCCGTTGATCCCAGTATCGTGCAGCGAATGTGCATAACAACTCCAAAACCTTGCTGCAGATTGCTGGAATCATTCGAGATTCCGATCGCTGTACACACAGATTCGTCCTGTCGCCAAACGGTTTCGGTTCATCAGCGTACAGAAGTGGGATGGCAGTTTGCGAGGGCCAGTGCTCAGTGAAGAACGAAGGGTCCGTTTCATTGGGGAAATTTATGTGATGCTATCCGTTGAAGGCAGTTGTCATGTTACGCCCGACCAGCGTGCCGGCTCATGCTAAAGGACCCTTTGACTAGAAAACAAGAGAATAATCTTTCTCCCTACTCCCCTCTCTACTCCTCTCCTCCCAAACGAGTCAACGAACAATGTTGCGTTCACCATCCATCCGCTTCGACTTCATCGACGACATCAAAGGCTGAGCCACCGGCAAAGTCATTGCCCTCGTCAATAGCACCAGCGTCGTCGTAGGCAGGTGCGTCACCGCCAGCCTCGCCGTCCGCTTGCGGGCAGCGAGCCTTCGTGTGACCCTTCTCTTTGCAAACTGAGCAAGTGATTTTAGAATCTGCAGAGCTAATTAGCATTGCCATATCATCTTTAGTCATCAAACCTACAGTCCTTGGGCTTCGGGCAACCGAAGAATTTGTGGCCTTCTTCACCGCAGTTGAGGCATGTCTCGGGCTTTTCGCAGGCCTTGCTGTAGTGGCCCACTATGAACGTCTTAGAAGCATTCACATGATACCGGGGAGTTGACTTACTTTCACCACACTTGCGACATTCCACATTATCCATATTGGGGGGCTCGGTGCACTCACTGGCGCGGTGGCCAGAGTCGCTGTCGGAAGATGGTCAGCACAGAAACAAAAGGGGTTTGAGGGTACACACCCGCAATTGCGACAGGCGTTCTTGTCAACACGAGGCTGCTTGCCTGTGTGGCGTCAGTAAAGAAAGCTTGACGGACAGGAAAGGTGATCCCCTACAATATAGTAGACGATGGCCATCCTCGTTGCAGTTCGGGCATGTGATGATCTCGCGGGAGCGCTCGGTCTTAGGTTCAGGACAGTCTCGGGATCCATGACCCCACTCATTGCAGTTGAAGCATTGGCGTTTATGAGATGGCACACGCTCGCCAGCATCATCCAGACGTTGCAGAATTTCGTCCATGTTCTCGGGCCAGCCCTCGCGCTCGCGGGGCCGACGTGGCTTGTCTGAGAGTCGAACTGAGACCGTGTACTTCTTGTCGGTATTTCCCTGCAGATCAGCATTCGTAAAGGACGGCTCTACCTCGATCTCCAGGGCGATCAAGAAGACACTCAAGCCCCGCTGATTGAAGCCTTTTTGCAGGCTACGGTAGGTGGTCTCTGGGAACTCGACGAGAATCGCCTTGACGTATTCTTGAAAGGCGATCACGAGGTCATCGATGTCCTTCTCCTTGACAGCTTCTTCAATTCCATCCCAAGCCTCCTCAACGGACTTATCAGCGATATGACTGCGGTCAACTGGGGGGACCATGGTGCACTCTTTGCTCATGTGGCCTTCGTTGCCACAGCGGCGGCACGTCTGGGGTACCGGACACTCTTTTGCCATGTGGCCTTCCTCATTGCATCGGCGACAGACCATGGAAGGCTTCGTGGGGCAGTCTCGACCTTTGTGCCTGTTGCCTTGTTAGTTCATACCCGTGACTCGATTTCTGAGGATGCAGGCAGAAATTCATACCCAGTCTCGCCGCAGTGATAGCAAGCTCTGCTGTCGTCGAAAACCTGCTCCTCTGCATCGCCGACGGACTTGATGGGTTGGTCCTCAATTTCATTGCCCGTGTTCCAGGTCTGAGCATCATCCGAGGTATTCCACGTGTCAACCATGATCGCAGCTTCTGGCAACGACCGGACCGTGAGTATTTGTAAAGAGCGATGGGGTCTGTATTCTTGTCAATAAAATTCCAGGATTAGTATGAGCTGTTTTGCAGTTGGAACAAGTCCTATTCAAGAGGTGTGCTTCTTATCCGCCGCTGGTGCAGGCAAGTAAGCCCTCGATCACCTTAAGAGAAACAGTGATGGGCGAAGGCTCACAACAAGCGGAACTTGACCAATGAAGCTGCTTCACCTCACAAGTGAGTACTATCATGTAGAAGGCATTCCTGTCAACGGGAATGGAGATTGGAAGCTGGCAGCTCATGAGTCCCCTCAATTGCTCCTCCCGGAAACGATGATCGGTGACAATGCAATCAATATCGCCTTTCAAATGCATAGCCAGCAGAAGTAGAGCCAACAAGGTAGTAGATGATGATAACTTACTCGGTCAGAAGAGCCTTCCTGGAAAGATTCTGTTGTAGCGGTTAGGGAATTGAGGCGTGGCAGAGGCAGATGTTTGCGAAGGGCAGTATGATGTTGAGGAGAAATGAGGAAGTGACTGCGGAAGCAAAAAGGGCCACTTTATTATTCAACTCCCAGGCTTCCAGGTAAGAACATTTCTCTGTTCTCTCTCCATCTGAAGTGCGCAGTTCAGTGCTTGGAGCGCGCTCAGTGGTATTCCAGTGACTGGAGTTTCCGAAGAGCGTGCAGTTTTAGGCAGGAGCGCGCCTAGGGTGCACTTGCTGTAGCAACGACGACCACACGAGTGTGAGGCAGTCCTCGGGCTCCGTTCCATTCATTTGCTTGTCAGGCTGTCGCTGGGGCTATTGTCTGATGCAGTGGCATCACTTGGTGTCTCTGAACGTCAAATACCGGATTAAAGAGTAAGATGAACCTGGAGTACCTTCGATCTGACCGCCGTTTCAATGTATATCTCCGCATCATCTAGCCTTCGTGGAACTACCCTTTAGCTAGCTTAATGTATATTTATGTAAGGATTCTCGATATGGGGACGAAACAATTGTGATTTGCCGAGTCTCTATCAACGTTTGTTGCAAACGGGGCGCAGGTATGGCAAGTGCCGACATGACACGGATAGATAAAAGCGTTTTCAAACCGAAACAGGATAAGACACTGTAATAAACCCCATGTGACAACTTGTAGATAAATTCAAGCTTTTCTCTTGCTGGGCCTGTGGCAGCGATTTCGCTGGTTTTCACGAAATCGCGCTACTACTGTGCCGATGAGAAAGGGGCGGCAACATCTAAACATATGACGTGGGGCAGCAGCCGTCCAGCAAGAAACGTCCACTCGAGTCAGCCCAAGCAAGATAGTGGGAGACCGCAAAATGATTGCCAAATTGAAGTGCGCCACTTTTGTCATTTCCTATCATTTCCCAACGCAACGAACGCTCCATAGTCATGCACCTAACCGCATTCCAAATCACTCGAAGGTTGCGTGGTGCGTGCCTCTCAGGCTCTGCCAGATTCCTTCGCTATAGTTGATTTGCCACCTTGCTCGTCGTCGCTATCGTCGCCGATGCTGTATTTGCTGCCGTTGTGTCCAGAGGGTGTATCAGTATGTAAGTCGTCTAACTCACCATCATCGAACGCAGCAGCTTCCAGGTCGCCATCGCCTGGCTTCCTGCGAAACCCTTCCAGGGTACTTGGCTCTCCATCGATAGAATGGTATGCAGCCCGTTTGCGGCGTTCACTCCAGACGAAGTATCCCCAAGCGGAGGCTGCAATGATCACAATCACGAGAACAACTCCGCCAGACCTCCTATAAGCCTGCCACTTTGCTTTCTGGACCTCGTCGGAATCTTCATCAGCGTTACTCCCATCCGAATCGCCAACTGCTGTGTCTGGGCCCTTCTCACCATCGATCAGGCTGTCGACTGGCTTACCCCCGATACTGCTGACATCGATGCCCATGAATCGATCAAGCATGTCTCGGGAACGACGAGGGTAGTCGAAAGGGACCATGTGAGATGCATCGTTGAAGAGCACATAAGTCAGGTTACGGGCTTCTTGCCAGAAACCTGCATCATCCCCCTCAAAGGTCCAGTTGCGTCGAGGTGCCCAATTACCAGCGCTTGTCTCGAAGCCCTTGCCGCCGTTCCATTCCATTCCGTTGATCATGTCCTCTGTGCCAATGTGGTTGCAGATGAGATCCTCGGCCCCGGAGAAGAGAAGGGTCGGTACCTCTGCGATGAGGTCCGGGAGCAGTTCTATGGCGGGCTTCGACTTTTGTGCCCTGAAAGATGAGCTCACAGCTCCATTGCATTCCTGCCATCCGGCATTCCGTTGCTCGTTGACATGGAGGGCTTGCAAAACCTCTTTCTTCCTCAGGTATGGTGTCATCTGCTTGAGGTCTGGAGGCCAGTTCATTCCGCAGCTCGGGTATGAGTCCCGCATGCGAACATCGTACATGTTGATACAGGCATTGTCGCCATCCCCTTCCTTCAGATACTCGAGCAATTTCGAGAGAATGTCCTCACATTCACCATAGTCGACGTGGCCAGGTTTGTCGCTCACAACCTTGTGACAAGTCTTCAACATTTCCTCGAGCTTCTTGTCGTTGCTGGAGCCCTTCTCAAGGAGGCCTTTCTGGCGGGCAAACTTTGTGTAGGAATCGTACTGATCGTACGGTGAGATCCAACCGTTTCCGATAAGCAGTCCCGCCAAATTCCACGCGTCTTGTTCCTTCTTGTTTCGGTCGAGGATTCCGCGTGCGATATAAGGTATGTGCTGGCCGGCATAGGACTCGCCTGCGATGTAGATCTGCCGATGTCAGTCAGGGTCCGGAGGGCTTTGCGGATGGCACCAACGTCGTCCTGCGCAAAGTGTGGAAACATCTCGAAGAATTTCTCGAGGAATGTCACGAAATTGTCGGCCATCTCGTCAAGCTCGTGGATGTAACTATCGGTGTCGACGTAGCTGAAACCTGTCCCGACGGGATTGTCGACGAATAAAAGGTTCGCAAATTCGTTCCAAGACCCTTCGTTGAGTCTCAACGTGCCGTCCTCGTTTACTCGGTATGGCCCAACTTCCATCAGGGCGCCATCCTCGGAACTACAGCCAGGACCACCGTTGATCCATATGACAGTGCGTTGCTTGTTCGCGATATGTTGGTTCTGGAAATGCCAGAAGAAGAGGTTGCCGTTGTGCTCCTCGGTAACTTCGATGTGCCTATATGATGCAATGACACGTCAGCCACTGTTGTTGCGCTCGTCGGCGGACACCACGTCTCAGCACGTACCCAGCGTGCATTTTGATCGGCTCAGCATCTTCGGGGACACCAGGAAGGTCAGTGACGAAGTAGTCAGCTGCCGACTTGCCGGCGACAAGCGTGGCCGGCCCTAGACCAAGCAGCAGCAGCATCGACCATTGTCGCATGGCGGACAGGAGGGAAGCCATGATGACGCGCCCGATGCAGCGCCTGGCTGGACACGGACGGGAGGTATGTTCAACAGAAAGCGCAAGCGCCTGATCAATACAATGATGCGATGAGCATCGAGGTTTTTGGAGGAAAGGATGATGCAGGAGGTCCAAATTCAAAAGACGATCAAATCAGGGAGGGAAGCTGTCTCAGATGTTCGAGGGTCCGTGTCCTTCATCAAGGTAAGGTACCTTAACCCTGGACGGGCAACCGTTGTGGCGCGGGTCCAGCTGCGGCCTGAGCCTGTGGCTTGGCGTGGGGCCCAGGAACCTCCCGATGACACCAGATGTACGGAATCATGTCCCCTGCCACGCCGTGTCCTCTTGCATTCAACTAGACATGCTCGAGGTCGTTCGTAAATTTGTATCCGTATTGCATGGAGATTCTATCATGCAGCATGACGCTCTGTGCTATGCCTACGTAGCCTACTCCTTTTGAGCGAGTTCGACTGCGATGGCGGAAAGTAGATGTGGCGCAGTTTCTCGAACTGAGAGGCTTAAATACGTCTCGAAGCACAGGCACTCACTCCATTGATGCATTCATCCCCCTTGGGGGCATGAATCAAAAGGTCCAGAATTTGCACCTGAGCAGGATTGATTAATTGATGAAGATCTTTGGTAGAGCACTAAACCGAGTACGCCGGTATACAGTATGATAGGATTGAGCTACGTGACTTGCTGAACGGCCCAGCGCCAACTTCATCCCACTATAATTGAAGGCTTCAAAAGCTCGAATTCAGTTCCACCCTTCTCCTCCGCCAATAAGCTCCAACGCACATTCACAATGTCCGGCAAGAAGACTTTTATCGTTGAGCACCTTGACCCAGAGCTGGGGCCATGGTCGGAGCTTGAATACATTGCCATTGCCAAAGAATCCCAAGCCACCAACACTGCGTTTATTCTTTCCAGTCTGCCTGATGGCTTCCGAGTGCCCACCACACTGCAGGACGTCGAGGCTTTTACAGCCGAGAAAAGGGGTGTAGAGGAGCTATACGCTGGCAAGAAGGAGAAGGTCTGCTTGCTAGATCCTGCTGCGGCTAAAGACCTATGCCCCGAGGACGGGGAGGCCTTTGAGGCATTCCTGTTTGGCGGTATACTGGGTTCGTGAAGCCATTCATTGTGACCGCACACGCGCTGACATTCTTCAGGCGACGATCCTCCACGGGGTTTGTTCCCTTCACAAGTGAAGTGTATTCGTGCTAATGCAAGCAGACCGAACCTCTGAATTGAGGAAGAAGGGTTTCGAAGGACGCAGGCTGGGACCCAAACAGATGACAACTGATACCGCTGTGCGAGTCACCCGTATGGTTGTCCAGGATAAGAGTAAGGAATTACGGTATCGTTAGACTTTCCGCACGCTGACCTGCCACAGTCGCCCTTGACAAGGTCTCTTACACAGACTTCCCAGAGCTGAAGTTTAGCCAACATGAAAGCACTGAAATGCCCTTCCGATACGTGGCAGACAAGGACGGAAACCCCATCATGCCCGAGGCAAGTTCATGAGTGACTGCTAGACTAGGTCACGCTAATACATTCCCAGGGAATGAAGGAGCTGATACAAAAGGACGCTGACAAGGCTCTTGACGACCTATTCTAGCTTCCGTCACAGTACATCACAGAAAAGGAACTGTCAACTTCAACAATTTGTCCATTTAATCAAGCAGTGAATGCTGGGGTTACGCGCCTCTTGACTAATCGCACCCATCTCCTTCTGCGCCAGTCGCCACGACGAACGACAGCGTCCTCGCCCTCTTGCCAACTAGTCTGCGGCAACACCTTCAGTTTGCTCGTCTGGGGGGCTTCGACAACACCCACCTGCTCTTCTCGCTCATCGTGCATGTCGTACACCCACCGTTCACCCTCCGTTTCGACCTCCACGCCCGTGATGATCCGCTCTTCAACCCATTCACGACTCCACAGGTCTAAAGCCCATTTCTTCTCGCTCCACTCCCAACCCTCCGGCGCCAGGACATCTTCGAAGAACCTAGCGCCCCTTGGGCGATCGCCTGTGATGCGCGCTTGTGACAGAGGGTCGTAGGGAGATGGCGTGAAGAGCCAGGGCTCCCATTCGCCTGCATCTGACATCCTCTGCAGCTCAAACACCTCTACTTCGCGTGTTTCTGGCGCAGAGTCAAGGATCACGTCGTTAGCAATCCAGTTGTCGAGCCACGTCCTGGCCTGGACCTTACGAGGCTGTATGTGCTCTTCGTGTGTCGCAACCAGCAGGCGAGCAATGGTTGGATGCCCCATGCCAATACCTGCCCAGCCAGTCATCAGCGCGATGAACCGCCATGGTAGGAGGTGTGCTGTGATAGTCATGAAGACACCACCGACAGCGAGAAACATGAAAACCGCCGATGAGCGAGCCTCGTTACTGAAGTTCGTGATTGGAACAACCAACGACACTACTTGATCGTGGGCGTTGCTGAAATCATCCATACAATTTTGTAGGTCTCTCATATTGCGGAAAAAATCTTTGCTGAGTTCCTTGACCGGGCGCACAGTAGGCGCGGGCGCCAACGGTGGCCCTCGCGGGGAGTATCCTACTCCTTGTTCGCTGGACAGTGTCCCTTTTGGAGGAGCCGGGTGCCTCGCCAGGAAAGCTGGTATCAGCACGCCAACCACGAGTATGGCAATCGGCACGACGGAGAGCAGATATGGATCGAGACAGATGAACGTATAGACGGCAAGCAATGACATGGTCTGCGAAGGCTGGTGCCAAGAGAGGATGCGCAGAGCTTTTGACTGGAACTTGAATACCACTCCTATTCGTGCGTTGAATCGACGGAAGTTGTTCGACATGGTTGTGATGTTGAAATTCGGTCGCTGCGCAAAGGCAGGCGCCTTGTCGTCCCCAATGATGGGCACATCGCTGCCCTCATCGTCGGTCGGGATGACTTGCTGCAGTAGTCTTCACGGATGTCAGCACTCTGTGATAGTTCACATTGAAGATACGACGTACTTCTCCACCAAGCGATCCTGAACGCTGGCCTTCTCGCGAAAAGTAGCAAACCCGGTTCTCAACCTAGCTTTCGGTGTTGGTGTGGTCGGCTCGGCATCGACCATTGGGTGAGGTTGCTCTTTTTCGCGTTGCGCCTCGTCATGCTGTTCCCTGGCCAGATACTCTGCAGTGAACTCGTCCATTCTGCTTTTGAAGACTGCGCGGTCTGCCATGCGTGGGGTTGTCGGTCTTCCCCGAGTAGGTGGAAGTAACGGGTCGAAATGCCTGCGATGATCCAGTAGGGCCGAGGCATGTGAAGTCCCAGTCCGCTGACATCACCTTCGCATGCGATGTTGAAGCGCGATAAATTGTCTAGTTCCAACTTGATCTCAAGATCAAGGCTCAAGATGCCGTAGATTTCATTATCACGCTGAATCAGATCATCTCTTCTTGGCCGTTCCTACGCATATCTACAGGAACGTATTGCTGGGAAGATACTGACCTGTCAGTGATCTGGTTGAGCCTAACTTGACTTCCCCACTACATGTTCGCTTAGCATGAGCCGTGTTGCTGTGGTATAGCATACCCTGCAGCAGCAAAACGCCGCGTTGCCAGTACTTGCTGCGGATACTGAGTATTTGTTTTGCGAAAGTAGCAGGTGCGAGTTTTGGTAGGTCTGGATGTAATGACTCAATAATGTCACACTCGTATATGCTTGTCTCCTTCCAGTTGATAGCTTGGTAGTAGCTGTGCTCCTTGAAATTGACACTTTTGAACGGCAGGTGTGTGTTTAACTTCTGCTGCAGTAGTTGTATAGCGTGCCTCTCGTAATTTAACTGCTAAATTTTTTAATATTTTTTTGAAACCCAAGATCCTGTATCTCAGGTCATAAACACGACATATATGAAGAAATTTAACTATACTACGTATTATACTTGCAAACACCAAGGCATTCATGACCTGTTGACGAACTCCCATCGACGCTGACGGGAGTGGACCTTGAGTTTAGTGGGTACGCCACATAGGGGTCTCATTTCGCCGGCTCTTGGCCTCCCCACCAAGTCTTGCTGAGATGAACCTGAATATTAGCTTCACCACGTCCACATCAGCTCGGATGCCACTCTACTTAGTTATATACGTAGTGAAAGGCATCTACTGCCTCACACAGCCGGGTTCCCGGCTAGAAACGGTCACCGACTAGTATGTCGCTACTCTGCGGTCACGGCGGTACTCATTACAGGGCCAGACTGCCGCTATAGCATGGTACTTTACCTGTACCATTGAATTGAGGTCTGCTAGCTAGCGTCTCATTGGCTATAATCGACGTGGCTCTCTGATACTGCACCAATCATGATGGTTAAGAGCTGAGCTATGCCCCACCTCTACCCCTGGGAGCTTGCACCTGCGCTCGATGATTGGGGTTGGATTGACAGTTGATTCGGTCGGATCCAATCCCTCCTGGTGAAAAACAAACGACGAGAGTGAGCCCCATGGATTGACAAGGGATTGTCATCCAGCCCATCAATTGCCTGCGTCCACCGACAATATCACCGGCTTCTCTTCCTTGTGCAATCTGCCGGCCCTGCTAAATACTGTACATCCTGTGCCCGGGTTGGATCTGACCAGCACAATTTCTCCCGCAGGCCGTCGAATCCACCCCATCACTCCTCACCATCGCGACGACGACGTTCTAGACGGCAGAGCGCGATCGGAATGAGGTAGTTCTCTGAATGCTCTCAGCTCCCTGGCAGGACTGAGGCTCACACGGTTTCACGACACCGTGCCATCTCCGGCGACCATCTGGGTAGGAGCCGTCTCGAACACCAGGTTCGACGTGAGCCTCCGACCAGGCCTTAGGTCTCGCTTCCCCAGATCCCATGCCACCGGAGTATAGTACTTCGGCCGAGCCTCGAGCGGCAAACAAGTCTCCCGTTCGACAGTAAGTCTGCTCCTCTCTCTGTATGGCGGACATTGACTCTGGCATCAGACAAAGAATCACCTCGAGCCTCCCACCACCGCTTACCACGTTCGTTGATGTCTCGCTCCCGTCCAAGGCTCCGATGTTAAGCGCGTCCTCGTCCAACAACCACTCACTCTTCTCATTTGGGCGGAATGGGGCATCGAAGCAGACTGACGAGCAGGCGACGGGGTCCTACGACTTCCTGCCCTCTGTGAGTTTTGACGATCTCCAAACCAGCATTGAATCGGCGTCCACAGAGTTCACTCTGACCCAATTTCCGTCACCAACGGGCGAGGGCAGCATCCTGGAGTCGCATACCATGTCGGAACAAAAACTCCCGGAGCGTTCTGCTGTGACACATCAGGCTGCTTCTGCTGCTACATCCCACAATGCCGCCCCAGCTACGGCCTCGCGCCCGACACGGTCTGGCTCGATCCTGCGGAGGCCCAGTACATCAAGTCGAAAGACCAGCATATCTTCCGTACGTGCGCCGGCGAATACCACGACCGATACGAACACTCCACCAGTGGCTATGCGTAGTCGTCGGCAGAGTCACTACCCACCTGTCTCAAACCCTGCAACGGCGAACAGACCGCCGCGAAAGTCAATCGGCTCAGGGGTTACGGCAGAGACTACGGAGACGTTGACGAGCGGTCAAAGACGCCGCCCTAGCCTGATGGCTGAGCGAATGGCAGGGGACGCCACGACAACGACGCTTGATATACCATTTGGTGCGCCAACCGATGCACCTTGTCAAATAAGTAGTACTAGGACACAGAAAGCGAAGTCCGTTCAGCCACCACCTCGGACGACTCAGGCACATTTATCGACTGGCGAGACGTTGGCACCCGAGCCACATCGCTTATCGACTCTGGCGGCCCAGACGCCACGTACTGGAGGACGAGGGTCGATGCCGTCCTTAGTGAACAGCAAGAGAATGTCCACGATGCCCAACAATCATCACGGATCACATGCATCAGGTCTCGGGGCCAGAACGATCAGTCCTACAGACACTCGGAGAGCGAAACGCATGTCGACCATGCCTACGTCACAAAGCCTGAGCCACATTGTCCATGTCCCTCCACCGCCCCCAGTATCCATGGACTATCGCGCTGATTCGCGGTCGCCTTCTATGATTCCAAGAAGGGCTTCTGGGACACCATCTTCTGCCAGGACCACGCCCGACATCACCAATCGCAAATCGTACAGCTCAGGGCTATCCATCGCTTCTAGTACAAGCTACCCGGCCGTCAGGACGTCCACTGGCCCAGTCCAAACGCGTCTTCCAGCGTCGGCTTCAGCATCTCGTTTGCCAGCACCGAAACACACAACAGTGCATAATCCGCTACCTGCAGAAAGCGACGAAGAGGTACCACCTGTACCAGCGATACCAAAAGCATACGAGTCGCCAAAGGGGTCACCGGCGGAAGCCCTGTTCATCGATAGGAAAAAGTCAGGCCTAGGTATTGATGCGCTTAGTATCCACAGTAATTCCACGGGTAGTATCACCATGCCTGTTCAACCTGAACCGGTAAAAGGTGTGCGGAAATCTAGTGCCCGGCAGAATTTCTCTAAACCAGAGTCAGCTGTTGATGCTAAGAAGTCTGATACACCTTCGAGCAGGAAAAATCTACAGCCTCTCAGCCTCCCCCCCATCAACCTGGGTCCTCTCAACATCCCCCACCTCACCAAGACTCCGAGTCAGGAGCATGGCCCCGTCGATAGGAACCTAAGCCCACCGCCATCTCGACAGATCCCAAAGACGCCCACTACGCCCATGACAGCCTCCAGGAGCACATTTTTCTCCAAGCATCATTTCAATAATACGGTGGAACTCCCGTCTTTGCGCAGCAGCAGTTCCGTTCACATGAATCCTCGAGCAACTCCCACACCACCAGACGAGGATTCATCCGTGTCTTCTGATGGACTCAAGGAACCGTTTGAGGAACACAAGTCAAGCATCTCGCCCTTCCTGTCATCGTCTGCGCCAAAAAGCGGGTTTGAATCCCATTTCTTGAAAAGAACACAAACAGACGCCGGCACCCATACTATGCCAGGAGCTCCGTTGGAGGGGCGTACTCATCAAAAGCCAGCGGGTCCACGAGCACCTCGGGACGAGAAAACAGTGGCAAAGTCGCCCACGCCGTGCCCAGCACCAGAGGAGCCCACTACACCCTCTTCGATGAGTTCTCTCAGGAGGAAGCTGAGTCTGACATGGAAACGCGACAAGTCCAAGGGCAGCAACGCCAGCACGAACGAACCCGGTGACAAGTCGATGCAGCCTGCCCATCCTCAACTTCCAACAAGACAAGACAGCATGCCCCCGCCGCGCATACCGGTTTCTGCGACGGTGAACTCCCTATCGAACATCAAACAGTCCGACACTGCCACGTCTAAACCCAATGGAGGATATCTTGAGTCCAGGCGACGAAAGAGCTCGGGAGCCAGCTTGAGCGCATATTCTTCTCATGACCGAACCAAGAGCGACCCGTGGAGCAGCAAAAAGGACACACCAGATGCGTCGACGATGCCTACTGCTCGGCACACCTCCGTCATGAACAAGTTCCTGAAGCCCAAGCCTTCCGCGAGCACGTTACAGAATCCAGATGCATGGTACACCGAACTGGACAAGGATGACCTGGGCGCCGAGGATGAGATGCGGAAGATGGGGTCTCGCCGCAAGGAAACGGAAATCGCTGCCCGCACCATTGACGCACTCCGGAAGAGAGCCACGCGCAAGGAAAGAGTCGGTCCACACGAGGCGATTCGCGTGGCGATGCTCAATATTTACGAGCGCGGCGAGATTGTGGACTACCCTGACATATACTTCTGTGGTACACAGGGCGCGGCCAAGGTAGTTGGCGACATGAAGTCAGACGCGCCGAACTTTGGCTACGATGATGATCGCGGCGACTACACTATTGTCCCGGGCGATCATCTCTCATTTCGCTATGAGATTGTCGATATCCTGGGCAAAGGGAGTTTTGGACAGGTTGTGCGATGCATAGATCACAAGCTTGGCGTTCTGGTAGCGGTGAAGATCATCAGAAATAAGAAGCGCTTCCACCAGCAGGCACTAGTCGAGGTCGACATCTTGCAGAAACTGCGGGAATGGGTGAGTCTTGAGCGCCTGTCGGGGTCTCACGTACTAATTTTCAGCAGGACCCTCATAACAAGCACAGCATGGTCAACTTTACGCAGAGCTTCTACTTCCGCGGCCATCTCTGCATCTCGACTGAGTTGCTGGACATGAACCTGTACGAGTTCATCAAGACGCATTCGTTCCGGGGCTTTTCTCTGCGCATCGTTCGACGTTTCACCAAGCAGATCCTCAGCTCGCTCATCCTTCTTAAGCAGAAACGCGTCATTCACTGCGACTTGAAGCCCGAAAACATCCTTTTGCGCCATCCTCTGCATTCGGAGATCAAAGTGATCGATTTCGGATCCAGCTGCTTCGAGAATGAGAAGGTCTACACGTATATCCAATCTCGCTTCTACCGATCGCCCGAAGTCATTCTGGGCATGACATACGGGCTGCCAATTGACATGTGGAGCGTGGGCTGCATCTTGGCCGAGCTATACACGGGCGTGCCCATCTTTCCCGGCGAGAACGAGCAGGAGCAGCTTGCCTGCATCATGGAAGTATTTGGACCACCAGAGAAACACTTGATCGAAAAGAGCACCCGGAAGAAGCTTTTCTTTGATTCAATGGGCAAGCCTCGACTGACGGTCTCGTCAAAGGGTCGCCGCCGCCGCCCGTCTTCCAAGACATTGCAGCAGGCCTTGAAGTGCGATGATGAGTCATTTCTCGATTTCCTCGCGCGATGTCTGCGATGGGACCCAGACCGCCGCATGAAACCCGAGGAAGCCATCCGGCATGAGTTCATCACAGGCAAGAAGACGATAGCGCCACCGCAGAGACAACCTACGCGCGAGTCTTCGCCCGTCAAGCGGCACAACACTGTATCTGCGCCGCGCCCGCTGCCAGAGCCACCAGCGCTAGGCATGAAGCCAGCAGCTGGCCCTAGGACTGGCCCAAGCCCTCACAAACCGGTTGCTGGGGGCGCGAGGCGGGTCTCAGGGGCTACGGCCCCGACAACAGCCAGCAGTGCCAAGCGCACGAGCACCGGCAACAACAGCCTTGGCGCAGGCGTGGGGAGTTCAGTTAGTGGCCTTCCGAGGGCAGCAGGTCGCAGTGCTAGCGGCAAACAAGACCTTGCGGCGGCCGGGGCGACGGCTGCGATGAGTCGACGTGTGTGAATGATACGATACACCATAGAGGACGACATGATATGCATTAGAGGCGTGAAGGGGGTGTCAGGAGGTGTCTGGAGAGAAGGTGGAATGGGCCACACGGGAGTAGTAGAGGGGCCGGGGCCCCTTTTTGTGCGCTGCGTTACGTCAAGATATACCAAGCATTGAGCGAGCACAGTAAGCTTTGATCTTCAACTAGGGCCACTCTTTGGAGCAAGCCCCGTTCTTATATGTACCTGCAGTTGCTGGTAGTAGACAGGCGGCCTAGAGGGAGTCAGTCGTAATAGAAAGACATTGCCTTGACAGCTACATGAACCATCCCGCGTGAAGGGGGCCGTGGAGAGTGAGGCAACCGCAAAGTCAGTCCCTTGGTATCATGACGAAACAAAGTTGTACGTTTAGAATGATGGCCACTACTATTTTTACACACCCGATGCCCTGACGATCAATGACGGCCTTTCCCCGCTCCATCATTCCACAGCGACCACCGTTTCATGGTCCTTGATGATGGTGCGCCCATACTTGGTGTGAGATCACGGACGGCAGCCTAAACACAACCCTGTCCGAGGCGCCGGCAATTGCGGTGCCTAGTCGAAAGAGGGACGTATCTTGCGGACACAAGCGCGGTGTGTTTCGTTCCTGCTGCATTTGTAGTCATTTGCGCGGTGGTTCGCATGTCCTGTATCAAGGCGTCGGTCGCAGCAAACACAGGCAGAAGTGCACAAAAGTCGCGGCAAAAGCAGCCGGCGGGTGAGTCACCTCGTCGGCATTGATGACGGTAGTGATTTCAAGACGAAGCAAAGCCCGTGTGGGACTCGGCAGCTTGGCCCCAAGGTTCACGCGTCTCTAGCGGTATGTACTAGTAATCTCATCCATCGTCTCTCCGTCTCACCAAGTTCCTGTCCGTCCCAATCGGGCAACCAAGGCTGCGAGGCACCGGCCGGCGACCCCGAAGATTTGCTGCACACCTCCGTCCGCTCGGGTCCTGGGGGCGCAGCTTTCAGTCCATGTCGTCGTCGCCCGACAAGATGAGAAGAACATGAACCGGGGAGGAAGATCACGAGGGCGATGGGAGAGGTGGGGGCTCTCTAGGCGATTTCTGGCCCAGGATTGGCTGGTGACGGGATGTTTCCCAAGTGTCGGATGCAAGTCACTGTGCGGGTTCCCCACAGTGGCTTCGACTAGCACAAGGCTGAACGTTGGGAGATCTGCTGCTCGGTGAGTCCCTAGATGAGGTCATTTGCTGACGCGCTCGATCTCAGGAGCATCAAACACGCACTGGACAGATTTACTGAAGGACTGTCTCACGCTGTCGTAGCTACTAGACGAGCGAGTGCTGTTCTGCCTCTGTTCTATGTTCAGAAGGTCATCCGTCTCGTAAAAGAGCGAATCGGATGTTAATTCAGTGTCTCGTATGAACGGTAGCGTCGGGCAATTCCCCATCTGCCGTCTTGGTGCCCTCAATCTCACGGAAGAGACATTAGGTAGGTAGGCAAGGTAGACAGTCGTCGGTTGCGCTTGAGTCATCACTCACGTGAGGTTCATGGCCACCCTCGAGATGCATATTGCCCATGGCAATTCAGTCTCGGTCTGAACGATGCTACCCAGTATGCGGCCTCGAGACTTGATCATGGGGTGTCACAGGCCCTTGGGGTAGAGTCGATTGCTGCATGAGTGAAGGTTGCAATGCCTACATGTAAGTAATGGCCACCCCCATGGACATGTTGACGATTCGGCTCCGGACATTGTCTACGACTCTAATTACACCCCCAGAAGCGTTCTGGGCCTGAGATGCAGTCGGTGGCCGCCCCCAAATGCAACTTGCCACTCGCCCAATTGGTGTGAATGCACGGCGGCGATCCTTGTGCCTGCTACCATGGTGCATCAACAGAGAGCCAAGCCTCGTAGGGCTGAAGCAAGCAGACCGAGGTAGGACTCACAACGCAACGAACGTGTAGGTTGTTGGCGGGTCTTGGATTGGCGTCGAGGCCGATTCGCTGACTGCAATGATGCGCTTCACTACCAGGTACCACAACATGCCAAGACACGCACAGATGGGGTGTGCATTGATAGACCTGGAGTGTAGCCTTGTTGTTGAAGTGAAAAGGGCGTCCGTCCGAGACAGGATGACAAGATGTCGAGGGTCCATGTCGCCGCAATTGGTGCAAGAGAGAGAAGAATGGAGGACTGGAGGGAGGCATTGCAGCTGATTGATGAGCTCCAGCAGGCAGCGACTCCAATTGACCCCACCCTTGGCGAGATGACTGCAGTCAGTCTACCGTACTATTGCGAAAGGGAATGTTCGACAGTCGCGAGATATCGCTCGACTGACCTGCTCAGCTTGCATTGCGACCCTGGCTCGTCTTCTGCAGGTCATCGAGGGTGGATCACGCCCGCGATGTCCACGGTGAAGTTTGGACAGTGATGTTGACTGACGTCTTTCTGCTGACTGGACCCATTGTGGATGGATCCATGTCATGCTCACATTAAGGTAGTCCGTCACTGCTCGCTGCAGTTCAGCCTCCGCCCCGCCCTACCGGCCCTGCGCCACCCTCGAGAGGGTTTCCGACTTTTGTCACTTCAATCCACGGCTACTGCTCTCACGAGAGAACGATCCGAACCGTGCCGTGCGAGCAATTGCCCTCGCAAGGCGAACGAACACCTGCGCCAGCATGCGCCCAATTGCGTACACGTCGAAGCATCAATTGCGAACCGCGCACCCGTGATGCTCACGAGGGAGCATTGCAATTGGACCTGAAGTAGCCCGGGTCAGTCATACGCATCCGGAGTCTAGTTTGCAGTCCTGGACCGACCCTGGTTCGGCGGACAGAGATGTTGACGGTCGTCCTGGTGCCTGGTGTCTGTCGTCGCCGCAGCCACACTACCTTATTAGACTAGGAGCACCGCACGCACAGCACAGCGCAGCGCAGCGCAGCACAGGAACCACGCCCATTCCCTCCACCGTTGTTTCTCTTCCTCGGCACTGTCCTGTGTTTAGACCAATGGCTTTGATCATCATCTCTACATACTTCAATGGGCCCAATTGACGGCGACGCTCGGTATGACATCCTACTACAAGTAGACTGGCATCTCTCGCCCAGCGGGGGGGAAGCCAGGGCCCGTCCGCGCCAGGCCCGCCCCGCCTGCCTGGATCCCGTGCCTGGCGTACCCACATCGTCCACCGACAACACTCCCTCCCTCCCTCGCTCCCTCCCGAACCACCCATCTACACATTCAGAGAATGCCTCGCCTACTGATTGCTGCGCATGTCCAATCCGACCCCGGGGGTACGTGCGGACCCTGGGACGTCGACTGGGCCTCTGCCGGGTGAGTGTACCATGTCCGAGGACAGGACAAGACAGGTCGTACAGGACATGGTCTCTCACTGCTGCTAGTCTAGGTCTCAAGTCCTATAAGGCTACAATGTCCGCCCAGTGTCTTCTCACAAGACCACCTGCTCCACTCTCCAGTCTCTGCCTGTTTGCCTAGTCTGTAGAGTCATAGCCGAAGCAGTCGAACGCTCCTTTCTGTACTTTCCCTTGGCTTCGTGCGGCCCGGCTCCGTGATTTATTATCTTTCCCTGCTCGCCTCGTTTGAGCTTTTCCTTCTCGTCATCCTCATCATCTCATCACATCACACATCACACACCACATATCACTTTGTCTGTTTGTTCGTTCGACAACCAACGACCTGCACCCTTCCGCAGTCCACACTGCCCTACCAACTGAACCAACACACCGACTCCATCAGTACAACCTTGGACACAATGTGTTACCAACTTGTCGAAGTATACGCGGCCTGCCGCTGCCTCTACTACCAACATGCCGTGGATCGATGCCCATCCTACGGCAGGAGAGGCCACGGCATAGAGCAACGAACAATCTCCGTTGGCTACGCCTGCTCCCGTCACGCGGCTCGGGCGGAGGAATACGCGTCGAAGCACACCTACTCTGACTCTGGCTACTACAGCAGTCAGTCAAGCAAGGGATACCGATGAAGAGTCTTGTCCTCCACAGCACTCTGTCCGTCGAGCCTGCTACCTCGACTTGTACTTTTCGACTTGAACGACTGGGTCTCCCACCTCTACTCCTGCAATCCCTCTCTGCTTTCCGTTCTCATCGTGGACACTCGGCGCCGATACAACGGGCGACTGTCCGCTTCGACACGAGGACGACGCGAACGAAGCCCCTTTCCCCCCGGACACCTGGTATCATCTTGACGGACAACCTCACGGTATCGCTGATGACACGAGGACGCAACACCACAGAGAAAGACCGACCATGTCGCAGAAAGGGAAGCGACTGGCTTAGCCCTACTGATTCATCTGTCCCGCTGGGAATTATGAAAGACCAGCTGAGGGACCGGATTGACGCATCTGCATCATGTGTGGATGACATGATGTCTGAACGCACTGATGAAGAAGGATGATGAACGACGCGATGACTTTTATTTTTATTTTTGTTCTTTTTTTATTTTTGTTTCAGATTTCTTTACTTTCTTTCACTCAGAGAACACTACGACAAGATCTATGGGTTGGTTATCTGGGCAGCGAGGGTCAACAGTCCCTTGTGCCTGATGGATGATGGAAGCAAATGACGGATGACGACTTTCCATGGGTTATGCTTTGTTTTATATTCGGCAGGTGTCGATTGCCTCGCGGCAGAATTTTTTTTATTTTTTTTTTGTTGCTTTGTTTTTGGGAGAGCTCTACCGAGGGCAAAGCAGTCAACTGGCTTGGCTCGGCGGTGGGAACCATGTGGGACACTTCCTGGAGTTGGATGTTTTTGGGAAGAGCGTTATGCGTGTCATGGGCGAGTCCCGATTTCTTTGTACTGTCTTTTCTTGTCTTACACTGTCTGCTCTACCCTGTGCTGTGCACAACGGCAGCAAAGGCGAACGAACACATGATCTGGTTATCATGAATAGCTCTGGGAGCCACGGATGATTGGTCTGGCATCATCATCCCACGCTGCCTTGCTGGGACAAGGTGGCGTGGCCTTTGCGGGAAACGCTGGGTTGGAGAAAGGAAGGATTGCTATTAGATTGCACTGGCTGCAATGTACCCAACTCTCACGAGCATAGAACTATACACCTCACTTTCATGTATCGCCGTCTGACTCTTCCGCCGGGGAGATCGCCAGACGCGCTTGACGTTGACGTCGTTACGTACATGCTCGGCCGAGGCAGATCGCCGGTTCCACATATATCTGCCGGACTGTGGAGTCTGTGGACAGGCAGTGTGCCTTGTCGCGCCTAAATGCAGCGCTTGCGTCGCTCACCGCGCGCTTATGTGGGAATTATGTCACAGCCTCACACGTGGTACCACTTTTCTTTTCATGTTGGATGGAGACATGATTCAGAGTGCAAAGAGTTCTTGAATCCATGTCTCTTCTTGATAGATAGTATGCAGAAGAAATGTTACATGGAATTACAAGAGAGCGGTAGTTCAAAGTCCCATGCCCGGGCACGCCCAAACTCCATCATACTCTTTGCATGCTAAACCAGTCCCAATGGAAACAAGTCTGAACCATCCGATAGCTGCTGTCAAATTCTCATTGCACATTCAAAAAGAGATCGCCGCCCCGTCTTGTGGGCGTCAACTTTGGCATCCACCCAGGTGTCCGAGGCAAATCATTGTCGCCGCCATCATCCCCCTGCCGTGGGGTATGCGGAGGAGGAGGAGGAGCATCTCTTCGCCAGTTCCCGTCTCCCTGGCGCTGGCTGTGGTGTTGATCAGTGGGGATGGCCATCTGTGCGGCCCGATCGGAGCCGAGACGCTTGGCGAGTAGGGACGAGGAAGTCGACGTCTCCGAGACGGGCGAGACGAACGTCGTCAGGCCCGCTGCGGCCGGCGCGGAGGGGAGGTCTGTCGCGAGGGGGGGCGGTGGTGGTCGATTTTGCGTGGGTCGGTAATGTTGTGGCAGGTCATGCTGGCTGTGCACGATCCCTGGGATTTGCGCTGGTCGCATGAAAGGGGTTGGTTTTCGCGGATAAGGACCGTCTTGCTGTCGCGGCAGCTGGTAGGTGTGCTGAGGCATACCAGGACGCGGCTGGGCTGGCGAGAAGCGGTGTTGTTGCTGCGTGGGTGAGGGCTTGACCTGTGGGTGTGGAGGGCGCGACGCGGAGGAGACGCGGCGATGATGGCCTCGCGCCGAGGGGAGGAGGCCCCTGTCGTCGGGTTCGGGCGACGGCTCGACGACACGCACCATTGGAGAGCCGGTTCTGGCGGACGCTGGCTGATGGCTCGTCGGTTGTCGACCCTTGCTGGCCATGTTGTACGAGGACAAGCCCTGACTTGGAGGTTGCTGTCGGTTCTGCTGCGCCGGCATTCCAAGGGTTGGGCTGGGTTGTCCTGGAGGTTGGTACATCTTTGGCCGACGAGGCGGCGGGGCATAGTTCACGTTGAGACTGCCTCGACTGGGTTGCATCATGACCGGTGGGCGATTGACCGAGGCAGAAGCTGGTGATTCGGCCGATTCCACTACGGGGGAGAGACTACCCGGTGGAGCTTCGGGGGGCGTGGGCTCGTCCGAGGAACTCTCAAAAATGGTTGTGTCGCTGCTGCGGGACGATGCGCGGTCGCGTTGCATTGGTGGGACCTGTGGTTGACCGGACAGTTGCTTATTGTTTTGTTGTAGTGAAAAGGGGCTCCGGGCCTGGGCTGCGACGTTGCCGTGTCCCGTCGTGGAGAATAGTGGCTTTGGCGTGGGCGACTCTTGCGGTTGCGCAAAGTATGACTGATTTTTATTGCTGTCGCGCGTAATCACCGGTGCCGGCGCCAGGTGTGGTACACGAGTCGACTCGTGCTGAGAAAGCGACCTCCGAGCAGGCGGCAGGTCGGGAACGTTGACCACTCTGAAGGGATTCGGATTCCGCGTCGGGGGCGCCGTCATTGGCACTGCTGAAGAGGAGGACGCCTGGTCCGGCTTGGACGAGGTTCTCAGGACCCAGTTGCCGTTCTTGTCGGCGACGTAGGATGACGCCAGGTTCTGGGACGGATGCCGCCAAACCTGACCCTGGGGCGAGGTGACCGATGAGCCGCCGTCCTCTTCGAACTCTGTCATGGCGCTGTCCCGCATCCGTGAAGGAGCCGCGACTGCGAGCGTGTTCTCCTCGGGAATATGAAGGGTGAGCGGTGCCTGCGGGAGCCTTTTCTCGGTCGTTTCCCCGTGTCGATAGGATAAGCCTGTCAACGGAGGCAGTCGTGGCGGCGCGTCACTCGTCTGCTGTTTCTCCGAACCACGTTGAAAGGAGAATCTTGCCAATATGGGTGTCATTGTTGGCTTTGCCGGTAGCAGCTTTGAGATGCGCCGAGGTTCGGGTGACTCGGACGTGTCGTCCTTCTTGAACGGCGGCGACAAGGCCATCCCAATGCCACCTGGGTACCAGCTTGTGCGGCTGTAGCTTTTCCTGGCCGCCAGAGGGGGTGGAGGCACCGGCGCAGCATAATAACTGCCGGGTGGAGGAACACGCGGCGAAGATGGTGTGCTGCTCAGGCTGGCGATATCGGGCCTCTGGTTTCCTAGGTAGCCCCAAGTGCTACGTCGAGGCAGGAATCCTGTGCTGACACCCGGGTGCCTCTTTTTGCGACAGCGGCGCGCGAGGAAGATAGCGCCAATGGCCACCCCAGCGGCGGCTACCACGCCAATGGATATGCCCGCGATTTGCCCGGTCCCAAGAGCTGGACCGCCTCCATCGTCCTCGTCCTCGTCCTCGTCCTCGTCCTCGTCCTCTTGCCAATCTTCGTCTGCTTGGCCCGGAGTCCCAACAGGCGACGTAGCCGTGGCCTCGCTCGTTGACTGCGCCGCGCCGGTGGAAACTGTCGTCAATGTTGGACCTCCACTGGTACGAGTCGTCTGCGTAGTGCTGGGTCGGACCGTGGGCGATGAACTCGTCTCGGTAACCAATGTGGATGGCAGCGACGTGGACCAAGGCTCTTCCGTCTTTGTAGAGACTTGCGGAAAGCTCACGAATCCTCCGCGCGTTGTCGGCAGCACCAAAGATGCGGTAATGAGGGTGTGTGTGGGCTGAACAGCACGAAGCTCGTCATTGCACATAAAGTAAGCCCTGTCCGTCACATCTTCTGTTTGAGGGCCGAAGTCAGTTGATTTTTCTCGCGAGGGGAAGACATGGGCGCTTCTTACGACCTGCATTGAAGTCTGAACATTGTCCAAACCTCCTCTCGGTGGTGATGCATTGCACCACGCCCTCCCCCAGAGTGAACTCGGTGTTCCCTCGTGTCGAACACAGACATTGCAGCGAAGCATCCTCTCCGCAACTTGTCCCCTCGTAGTTGACCTGCACAAAGGACGCGACGCATCGCTCGGCGCAAGTAGGTATGAACCTCAGTACGCCCGGCGACAGTTGAGTGTCTGATGCCGCGCGGGCCGTGGTAACGAATATTAAGATGTATAATAAGTGTGTAAGTGGCGCCAGGGCCATGCTAAGGAGACACATCTGCCACTCATTAGGGAGATCGCCCTGGCACGTACAAGTAAGCTCTGCGACGAGCGCAACTCACCTAGGAAACAGATCGCAGCCGCCTCGAGATAGCCAGCATCCCAGCAACAGCGTCACGTCGGATGATAACGAGGGCGAAACGAGATCATGCAGATGTATCAGTGAAACAAGATGGAAGAAAAGAGACCAAATCTAATAATGCCTGGCGTGGGACAAGTCTCCAGAGATGGAAGACTTCGAAACAACAAAGGAAACAACAGCCTCTGTCTACTCTCAGAGTCAGAACAAGCGACACTAGGAAACGAGGACGAGAAAGGACGGAAAATGGACGAGATCAGAAGAGGCCCAAGGAGGCGGCCATCGCCAGGACAAAACCCCCCCATGGGTCCGTCGTGAGCGAAGCGCCCATCTCACACTTAGTAAACGGGGTCATCGAAGTGCAGCCGACACGCGCCAGCCCCAGAGCCGACATGGACCATGACGCCGATGGACGATCGCCCCCATCCTGCACGACGTGATCTCAAAAAGGCCGGTGGGCGTGATGGCCGCTGTGCTTCGGGCGGTTATGCGGGTGCTGACTGGTTGGCAGGCGTTGGTGGTGAGGAGCGCGTAGCCGCCGGCGAGCTGGGCGCCTACGTTGCAACGACCAACCATTGGGTGTCACGTGATGTCACACTCTTGACAATTGGCATGGAGGTTCACGCATCTCATGACGGCACTGAAACGTCTGCGATTCAATGGACCATTGCCAGAACAATCATCTCGACATGTCAAGAAGCGTTCAATGGCAACCGGGCCGTGCCCATGTCATGTCCGCCGTCTGCGAGCTACTTGAATAAGGGTCTGGTGCGGACATTGGATGGAACCGCACCTTATGAGACGCGCGCTCATTGAACCTGGGCAAGTGGCCGGCTGATCAACAATGTTATGTCGTTCGAGAGGGCAGTGGACGTGTCCTTGGGAAATTTCAAGCCGCGGACAGGGAATTAAGACCTTGGTCGAAGGCATGCGGGAGCATGCATAGCGAGGATCACAGCAACTCAGCGCGCAGTATGACAACCAGTGGCGATGGTGCACGTTCGTTTCGGTTCTGAGGCGAGCTGAAGTACGGTCTGCAAGTGAATGATGGGGAGCGTAATGTTAATCTTTCAGCCGCCAACCCCTCATCATGTCATAGAGGAGCTGGCCAAGCTGGGCTTCGTTTCCCACTGCGTCGGGGGATAACTCATGCGGAGACCGTGGGGGGGGCTAGTATATCATACGTGTACCATACATGATTGCGATTCCGCCAGTTTCCTGGGAGAGGAACCAAAACATACAACCACCCTAGATCTTCCGAGAAACCTCGGCGTTCTCAAGAAATGAAGGAGGAAAATGTCCACGATCCCAAATACCGGGAAGCAAAAGAACCCCAAAGCTCCCCGTCGGTGCCAACAAGCCAGCTCTTCAGACTCGACAACCGCACAATCATAGGTAGTGTCTTCGAAAGTTAGGCCTCTATTGTCCTCTAGACTAAGACTCGCACGAAGTAACCGGAGCTGGAGGGTTCCTGGGCACAACCGTTGCAAAGACGATCATCGAGAGCGGTGGTGATGTGGTCTGCCTGGATCTGGTCCAGAACCCCCAGTCTGTATATTGGAGTTAGTCGCAACCAGCAGCTCTTACAGAAACAAAATGACTGACCTGTGGTAGAGCAAGTGCAGGAAGCGGCCGACCGCCACGGTCGCAATGTGCAATACTATCCGTGTGACGTTCAAGACGCAGATGCAATGGTCAACATCTTTGCGCAGTTCCTCCCTCTCTTGGAAAGCCCCATCCGAGGCCTTGTGTCCTGCGCAGGCGTGTCAGACAATGGCCCAGCCACGGACTTTCCTGTCCGGTCGTTCCAGAGACTGCTGGACATTAACGTCACCGGTACCTTCACAGCTGCGCAGCTGGTCGCCAAGGAAGTCATCAAGACAGGCCTCAGTGCCAGTATGGTGTTTGTAGCCAGCATGAGCGGGCACGTTTCCAACAAGGTGAGTGATCGACGCCCAAAGTGGGACTGAGTGAACCGAGCTAATGTCTTCTTTTCTGCGTAATCCAGGGAGTAGACACAGCTGGCTACAACGCCTCCAAAGCTGCTGTGCACCAGTTGGCGAGGTCTCTGGCGGCGGAGTGGGGTTCAAGAGTCAATGTACCGCTGATCAGAGTCAACACCCTGTCACCGGGCTACATCCGTACGGAGGCAACAGCCGAGGCACTGCGCAAGCCTGGGATAGAATCGCAATGGGTAGGCGACTCCATGCTGTATCGGCTGAGCAACGCGGATGAGTACCGCGCACCTATCTTGTTCCTCCTGGGAGATGGCAGTAGTTACATGACCGGGGCCGACTTGCGAGTCGATGGAGGCCACTGCGCATGGTAGGGTTCTAGAGGAAGGAAGTTAAGAACAAAGGAATTGACGGATGGGACTCCTTGTGGCCTGCATTTCCAGGTTTCTCGTTGTTTGTAAGTATCTAAAATGTCTCTACCGTGAAAAACATCGAAGAGAAAAGACCGCCCAGACATCAGACGTACCGCATCACATCCACCCATCGGGCATCTCCCCCCAGCCGCCTACTCGTTGAAGCATCAAGGCTGAAACACGAATACGCCAACGCCACGGAACAACACGAAATGACATAAGTGGAATGGGCGTGCACCAGAGCTGGGTGTACGGCCCATGCTTCGCTTGCGGGTCGCTCGAGTATCGAGAGTAATGGTGGGGGTTGCTTCACATGGCCATCTCAGCTCGGAGCTTCTCCAGCTCAGCCTCCTCGTCATCCACCACCGCTTGTTTCCTGTTTGACACAGCTACAGTGTTGGTTAGCACGAGCTCGTATCGTCCAGGACGGGTGCTCTTACGCTCTTGTTGAGCAGGCGAGGGAAGCCGATTCACAGCGTCGGCGCTGGGTACGGTACCAGCCTTGAGCATTTGCTCGTCCACAGCCTCCTGTTGCAAGCGTTCCAAATCCTCTTCGAGATCGGCTTCGTCCACAGGCTCCCCGAATTGATTGCCGACGATGGCTCCCACAATCTCCTCGCTGAGCGCGTTCTGGTCGCGCAATACCTCCCTGTCGATGTCATCAGTGTCCATGAACCCACACTACAGGTGCACTCTGGTACCCACATTGTCTCGTCGACCTTCTCGGGGGTGAGCTTGCCGTGAATTTGCTTCATCGCATCACCAGCCTTCTGCATCGCGGCGAGTGTCTCCCTGTTGATATTGGCGGATTCGATCGAGTTGATCTGCTGCTCCAGAGTTCCGATCTGTGCAATGGTCTGCTCGATCGAGTGCTCGTGCGTCTTCTTGCGTCTCAGCGCCGCTTTGGCGACTGCCGGGGGCGTCAGTCACTGTAACATCAGGATGTCCATCTTCCACCTACCCGTTTTATTTGTGTTGACATTCTTCCGCGCAATATTCTCCTGCTCATCGATTTGAGATTGTAGGTACTTCTCGCGCTTTTGAAGCATATCGAGCTGTGAACGCAGACCCAGGATGGCATTCTTGGGGCTGTCCTTGCGCTTCTGGGCCGCGCCGCCGCCGCCGAACCAGCCCCACATGTTGATATGCGTTTGAGATGAAGATGTGAGAGGAGTCAGGTTCTTGTGTGCAGGCCAGCAGACACCTTTGATTTACCAAGGGCGCGGAGATGCTTTCGGTCCAAGGAGCCGTCGCTAGCAATAGAGGTTCGCGTGATGGTGGGGTCGTGGTAGTAGCTGGGTGATGGTGGTGACTAGCTCATGATCAGCAATTTGAATGGATTAAATCGTCAGGCAAGCACGTTATACCACACACTGGGTACAGATTGAGTTCTGCTGTCGTAATCTGAATGCGTCGCTAATGAGTGTGCGCAGATAAGTACCAGGCTGAAGCCGCGACGATGGTCATCTGCTCCGTTGCCTGCCATGCGGGAACCACGTATGACGGCACCGCTGGATCGGCCGGCTACCCGATATTTTCCCGCAGTCATGTGACAGTCAGCATGCAACCGGCCTGTCATGAGCTTATCACGGAATTCGAGTTGAGTAGTCATTCGGGTTGAACATAACAGGAGACATTGTCTCCGGAACATAACGCTGGTGCTAACAATTTGATCGAGTGAATGAAGACGACAGGACTGTTCCTTCCCTCAAAGTCGCCGCCTTAGGCGTTGCCGGGTTCCTCCTCTGTGTCCTTGTGCCATACCACGTAGTTGGGAAGTCCAATGACCTGGTAGCCTGCGCGTTTAGCCATCTTCGCGAAACCCTCCGTCTCGGCCTGGTTCTCAAAGGCATAGCTTGGGAAGTTGATACCAGATCGATGGACATCAGCTTTGACCAAGATGCTCACGCCACCTATTCCGTCCAGTTCCAGTTCTTCGTCGGGATTCGCGTGGCGGTCGCCCATCTGGCACATGTAGGTTCGATCCGTTTTGTACTCTTTGTATCCTTCAGCCAGTACAACATCCTTGTCAAGTCTTTGAGCTAGCTTGAGAGCTGTCTCTGATTCGATCCATGAGTTGTAGTCGACTAGTGGGCTATGTTAATACGCCCTGCTAGTGACCGGGGGCATGGCGACTTACAACGACCCTCAATGTCGACGCCGTCTTCGATTCTGTGAAACCAAATATCTACCGCGCGTCAGCATGAAAACATGATTGTAGACAAAGACATACTGGGAACAATAATGTCCTTATCGTGTGCCACCAGATCCTCGAGGATCTTCGGCGGGCTCTCCACAATATCAACATCGCGCCAGAAGACCCACGAATGTTCCGGCCTCAGCGCCGCTGAAAGAAGATAGTTCCGTGCCTTTCCCAGTGCCTTGCGGCGAGGCCCTTGTGCAGCAAACTCGTGACGATCCTTTACTTCGTTCGACAATTGGAAGTGGAGGTCCTTCTCGACAATGGTCGCACTGTGGAATGGCACGTCGCCGGGGCGTTTTTGTATTCGGTCGAGTTCTGACGCGAGAACAGCCAGGGTGTCGTCACTGGAATCGCCAACCAAGAATGCTAGGTCAATGAGATGATGTGGGTAGGTAAGCTCAGCCAAGAGCTCAAAGTATTTCGAGAGATATTGTGCGGCATCCTTGAGAGGAGTCAGGATGAGGACGCGCTCCTCATTGAGCAGAGCCTTGTGTGTTGACTTGATCGGGTTCAAGTCAACACGTTGTATGCTTTTCGACTCGATCTCGACCGGCTTGTGGTGGTTGAACACAATCGGTGTCTGCAAATGTGCGTTCCACCGGGCGTACTCGTTCTGTGTCATATCCATGGGGGATTTCGCAGGTCCCCAGCAATAGAAACTGGAGCGATAAGCTGAGGAATCATCCTGTACCAGACGAAGTGCTCACTCTTGTACATCTGTTGAGCTTCGGATGCCGCGCCACAACAACAGCATAATACAGAAAATGACAAGCCCTATCACGGCCCGGGGTCGCGTCAATGAGGTCCAAAAAGCCCTACTGGGCGCCCTTGTAGACTTCCATGCCGGACCTCCGCCTTTCGAGAGAAGCATGGCTCGCGTTGTGACTAGAGCAAGCTGTCCAAGACGCGGGTGAAAGCGGCCGAAGCGTTGCGATGAATCCAGTACAACTTGTGCGCCGTACGCAAGCTTGAATCGTTCCGTTCGTCTAGGATAGACCGTTCGTCCGTAAGCGATTCGTTGAGCTGGGCAGGCACAGCTTCGAAATGTCCTGGTCAGGTATTGTGACGTCGCTGCAAATGTGCGTTGGGCGAGCTGCTACGCCAGGTGTCTTGAGCTGGTTGTACGCCGCCAATCAATCAGACCTTTCCCAGTCTGATATCGTACGTCGCTGTGTACGGAGAAGATACGTGGTATAAGTCGAATCGGCAAATGGCTGGCTGCTTTCTGAGAATTCAAGGAAACGTGTCGTAACGTGATCGAGTCGTGGGAACCTATCGTAAACAGTGCTTGTATCGGAACCGGTTGTTGAAGAAGCAGAACTGTCAAGTCGTTGTAGCTCAGTCTGTAGTCACAAAATTCATATCGCAGCTTCCGTGGATGCACTCGAGATCCATGGAGCTACCGTTTCGAAACGCGCCAGGTACACATGTGGTGGTGGGGGCAGGCAAATGGCGTCGGCCATCCTGCGTAAATTAGATCGTCACTCACAGGCGGGTACCTGGAAAGCCTCTCAGGGGTTGACAATCCGGTCGCGATGTTGTCCACGTCGAGAGCTCGACTTGCTTTGAAGCGGACTAGAACATGAGCCTCGGATTGAAATCAACAACTCGCCCGACAGCCAAGTACGAATTCCACAAACTCGCTGCTCGGAGAACTCGTCCCCACGTTGAGCTGCTCATCCCCGACATCCCCACTAGGCACAACCTCAAAGTACCTACATATACTGGGGAACACCCACCACTTTGCACGAGCTCTCACAGATCAGGCCAGGCCTTGCGAGGGCAGTGGCAACTTGGGTTTGGGAATCTTTTCATCAGAGACTTTCACGGGAACAGCAATTCCCTGACGATACAAAGTTTGTCTCGTGGTGCGGCTCCTAGGGTACCTCACCTTAATTTAGGGTACCTACAGCACTAAACTACTAGTAAAATACTGCAGTGCTTTGTCATGAACCCCAATACGCCACGAAGGGCGTGCACGACGACCTCTGGACGTAACGTGAACCTGAGGTTTCCCTTCCCATCTCTCGAAAAGACTGGACCCCTGGGAAGTTGGGACAAAGACTGTGCGCTCTTGCATTTCACACCATCGGTGTGGCTCGTCATCTTCCTCGTTCTGGAGTTCCCATTTCTCAAAGCAACGACGTCATATGATCCAACGGTTCACTCATGTCTTCGACTGTCGTGCCTCGTACTCACTGTCCGTGAACCCAAGCCCAAACGCTTTAATTCTACGCTGTCAACCATGGCTACAGCAACCAGGCGATCGTCCAGGCTTAGCAGCCTCGCAGAAAGAACATCGTCTGCGGGCTCTAGACAGACGGCCAACCCTCGTAAACGCAAGCAATCCCCCGGCGCCACACCGTCAACACCACCTCAGAAACGCCAGCGGCCAGCGATCCCGCCAGCCCCAACTCCGACTCCCAGTGCGGTTGGTCTGATGGCTCATGCTACGTTGACGGCGGAGAGGCCTGCGAATCCCATGGTAGCCCGACTGGCGGATCCCCAAACAACCAATGCCACATTGCTGTCGCCCGAGACCTCAAGAGTCATTACGCACACGAATGTCACCGCTATACCTTCAAAACTTCCCCAGCCAAGCACCACTACGGCTACGCTGCTCGAGGAGGCCAATACACACTTGATCAAGGTCGATGAGCGAATGAGACCACTGGTGGAGAACAACTTTTGTCGAGTCTTCTCTCCTGAAGGACTGGCAGAAGTCATTGACCCATTCGAGAGCCTCGCCAGTGGCATCATCTCACAACAGGTCTCGGGGGCAGCTGCCAAGTCGATCAAAGCCAAGTTTGTGGCATTGTTTGAGGGCGACAGAAGATTTCCTCACCCTTCTGACGTGGCGCCCTTGCCCATCGAGAGGCTCCGCACCGCTGGGCTTTCGCAACGAAAAGCAGAGTATATCAAAGGACTCGCGGAGAAGTTTGTGTCAGGAGAACTCAGCGCGCAAATGCTCAACGACGCACCATACGAGGAGGTCCTCGGACAGCTGATCGCAGTAAGAGGACTGGGCAAATGGTCCGTGGAGATGTTTGCCTGCTTCGGTCTCAAGAGAATGGACGTGTTCTCACTTGGCGACCTGGGTGTCCAGAGAGGCATGGCGGCCTTTGTGGGCAAAGATGTGGCCAAGCTCAAGAACAAGGGCGGCAAGTGGAAGTACATGTCGGAAAAGGAGATGTTGGAGCTGTCGGAGAAGTTTGCTCCTTATCGAAGTCTGTTCATGTGGTACATGTGGCGTGTCGAAGAGACCGATATCAGTACCATGGAGTGAGAGCCAGTCGAGCTATAAGCAACAGCCATGATCGCTCGATACTCACATTACGAGTCTCAAAGGAACGTCTTTATCGCACCCATACCAGAGCTGGGATCTCTCCGAATTCAGCGACATCTACTAAATCAACTGATCTGAATGATTGTAGGTGTGAGGGAAAGAGGAAAGTATAAAAGGAGATTATTAGAGAATTGCGGTTGAAGCGCGTTCCGAAACTAATTGAAGGTGGTTGCAGCTACAATATTAGAGTTTGAGCTTTGCACAAGACCAACATGAGCTGGCCAGGACACGAGATGCGAATTGACTATGGCGTCTGTGTGGAATCAATGCAGGGTTGGTAGTGATACGCATAAAGCTTCGCATGCCACAGATACAAACCTTTCAATGTGCCTGGAATGTTCGTGAAATTTGAACACGAACCGGATTTCGCGGGCATTGATGGATATTTTTGAACAGCAGGGCGAAGCAAGGCCAGGCTGCTGGGGTCGACGCCAGGGGTGCGCTTAGTACTTGGCACTGTCGCTGTGGCTGTTTTCCGTGCTGATTCCGATCCGTCAAGTCGAACTGTCTTGACATCCAGACCTTGCGGAAATGTGGTCAACGAAGGAGATCGTGAAGGTTTCCAGAGCAAGTGCAGCACTCATGGCGGCCGACTCAGCTCTAGCGTAGTCTGATAGCCCTCACGCCGAGACGACAGTGGCGGCGTTGCGATGCTGCATTGCCGTCCACAGCGTCGAGATGCTCGATGGCGGTGGAGCTATCCGTGGGGAAGTCGAAGCGAATCTGCCGAGGGCTGGAATCATGTCTTGGCTCTGGCCTTTTGTAAGAATCGAGCCGGATGGTTTGCTTTGGTGCCCTAGCCTGGGTTCCTACAACAATGAATGCTAACAATTCTTTCTTCAAATACCTATTATCTGGCCCGCGTACGGATATACGGATACAGCCAGAGGGTGAGAAGTTCGTAGAGGATGCCGATCCACATCCACCACGAACTCTTGTGTGTGCGTGGTCCTGTGCTTCATTGGCTCTATGGTCGAACATACGGATACATAGAATGCCGGAACGAAAAGTCCATGATGACTCCCGGTACGTATTTTTCCTCGATTGCAGTTCTCGATGCGATTCTGGAGCTTGGCAATTTCGATTTCGGTCATGCCCACGGCCGAAAGTCTCTCGCAGCTCATGTTACAGAACTGGATCAGAAACGCTGATCGTCGACCGAGCAATATTATCACCCCAATGCCTGTGAGAACATCAGAGACAGATGCATGCCTGTGCGTCACGACTGGCGTGGAGTCCTGGCACTGGGAGATAACAATCGCTGCGGGCTCCATTGTGAAGCAGGTTAACGCTCGTGCTAGCGTCCGACAAGGTGACCTAAATCAAGTAGTGATTGCCAGGTTAATTACCTGGTAGTCTCTACTTAGGAGGTCATTCCAGTGGACAGGGCCTGGTATGAGGAACGGGTCTCCCCGTTGTAAGGAGTACATGGTACTTACTTATTGCGCGTTAGGGAGGGTACTCGTCGGCCCAGATGCAGGTCTGCCGCCAGCCGGGCATAGAGCCCCAGTCGTTATTAACATGCCTGGCTTCACCAGCCAGAGCAAGTGGTGCACTATCAGAGGCTGTTCACTGGAGGCCTGCTACCGGCAGGGGCCCCGAAGCACCCGCTAAGATGAGCATCAGGAAGCCAATTTCTCCAGCAGCAGGGACCAAGCCCGATTGCAGATGGTCCGTGTCGCGTGTCATCGGAAGCCATCACCTTTTACAATGCCTGGCAGTACGGATACTGGATCCAGATTGATCGAGTGGCGATGGCAGTGCTTTGAATAGTCTGTGAATTGCCCATTGTGCAACCGCGGTCCTTGGCTTGTGGAATATGAGATGACTGAGATCCAAGTTTTCTGCAGCACCCACTTTGGGCCGGCAAGAGGCGTGCATCAAGCAAAAGCACGCTGCCCCTTGCCATCGGCCGCGACCAAAGCGGAGCGGGCCAGGGGTCAACCTGGTCTCAAATCAAAGGCACCGAATGCACTCCAAGAGACGCGGCGCATCCAATAGACCCATAAATCGAGCTTGGAACGAGGCTCGGCGGCCCTCATTTGCCTCTGGCCTCCGCGAGCTCCCTCCTGAAACCTTTTCCTCTCCTCCTCCCTCTCTTGAATCCTGTCTTGACCTTCCCATCCAACCAGCTCCCGTTCTGTCGTTGCTGCTCTTTCTTCTCTTCACGCCGCTCGTTAAGGCTTTGCTCTGCTCATACTTTCCTCAGAAAGTAAAAGACGCCACTACTGCTTTTAATTCCGGTCCTCACGCCGTGTCAACCGCCAAACAACCTCCTTTGCCTCCACGATCCCAACGCACCGGAACGATTCCCATTTCCCCGTTCATCATCACGACAACTTGAGGTTAGTAATGTCAGAGAGTGCGAAGCACCTTCCCTATCGAATTCGAGAGTTACCAGACCATCCAACGAAATGATCTGGCGCACATTGGCCTCGGACGGGCGCGTGAACAAACACGCTGAGCCCGCATGCTCGACGCATTTATTGGGCCTCTGGAACCGCAAGAGCCGCGTCTCTTCTCGAGAAGATCCGATTCCAGAAGACCAAGCCCGCTATTGCTGCTTATGTGCGAGAAGGAGCCTCCGTGTCCCTGCCCCAATGTCGACTACGGCAGGAGTAACGGACAGCTGCACCTCGTTCAAGCGAACACGTCGAGAGTTGAAAGCAACCTCTGCATGACATTCTCCGCTACCACTGCCCGAGCAAGACATATCTCATCACATCATTGTCATCATCAACCAACACATTCGCAACCCATAACGAACGACCTAACAAGTGCAACATAGATCAAGATGCGCTCTACTCAGTTCGCTGCGGCCGTTGCCGCCTTTGCTGGCCTTGCTGTCGGTAAGTTTGTTGCTCCTGTTGACTCGCAGCAGAAACTAACGTGCCATTAGCCAAGACCTGCACCAAGGATATTGAGATCTCCGAGCCCACGCCTGTGATCGACTGCGATGTTGTCGACGCTGATATCACTGTCAATGAGGATGTTTCTGGCGCTCTCAGCATTGAGGGCCCCAAGCAGCTCAAGGGCAACCTGATCATCAATAACGCATCCAGCATTCTCTCCATTTCTTCCAGCTCCATCAACTCCATCGGAGGACGGCTGGAATTCCAGGAGCTGAACAGCCTCAACTCCATCGACATGGGCTCTCTTGAGAGCGTTTCGGAGATTGTCATGAGGAAGCTCACTGCTCTCCAGACCATCACCTTTGGCTCCGACTCTGTCACCGAGGCCGAAAGTGTCGAGATTACTGATACCGACCTGTCCTCCCTCAGTGGTCTGATGCTCACCTCGGTCAAGGATCTCAACATCAACAACAACGACCGTCTCACCAAGTTTGACTCTGCTCTCGTCAACGTAACCGGTCAGCTTTTGATCAACAGCAATGGCCGTGACATGGAGATCACATTGAACGATCTCGAGTCTGCTAGTGAGATCCAGATCGGCAACGTCAAGACTTTCGAGGTTCCCAAGCTGTCGGTCGTCAAGGCTTCCCTGAAGTTCGATCAGTGCGACAAGCTTGAGTCCTTCAGCGCGCCCAACCTGACCAAGATCACCGACGCTCTGGCCTTCATCAACAACGAGCAGCTCTCCAACGTGAGCTTCCCCAAGCTGACGGAGATTGGTGGCGATCTTCGCATCGTCAACAACACCGAGTTCACCGACATCAGCGGCTTCCCCAAGCTTGAGAGCGCTGCCAGCATCAACTTTGGTGGTAACTTCGAAGAGTAAGTCTGGAGACAACGCATATTGCTCAACGCCACTAACCATGCATCAATAGGATCGATATGCCTGAGCTCAACCGCGTCAGCGGTACTGCTGATGTGTCCACCACCAGCACCGAGGAGGATTTCTGCAAGTTCTTCGAGAAGGCCGACGATGACGGTGTTATTCGCGGCGGTGCTGACTGCACATTCGACAACGAGGACGCTAACCAAGGTGGCGAGACTGAGGGTGGACGCAAGACTGATGGCTCTTCCAGCAGCGGCGACGACAGCGGCGACAACGAGGATGCCGCTGGCATTGTTGGTGTCAACACTGCCCTGATGGGTCTTGCTCTCATTGCCGGTGTTGCCCAGCTGCTATAATCGGTTTTCACCGACAGTTGCGTTGTTTAGTTGCCTGCTGCCTTGGCAGGATGAAGGATATCACGGTTCGGAATACGGCGTCTTTTCACTGCCCGCACACATGTTACCATCTCGTTTTTAGCCATGACTTAGCATCCTCTGTGTGATCGCCAACTTGAGTCGGCTTCACGTTGGTACTCCTGAATGGCTATGACCTCGAGACTTAATAATGGAGTACACTTTGACTGCGTTTTGTCTCCTGTCCGTGATTACCTCGCGCGCCATGAGTCCTACTTGTAAATACTCCTTTCGAACTTGTCTGTATCGTAGAACATGGGCAGGATAGTGTTGCCATTGAACACCCGCCCTTCCAATTCGTTGACAGCCTGCAGTCGTCGGTCAGCGCTCCATCTCTTCTTCGCATAAAGTCTAGGATTCATACCCGCAACGCCGACACTTGAGTCGTAAACTTGATGAAGACCTGTCTGTCCTCCTGGTCAATGTGCAGTCGTTCGACCGTTCCATACTGAGATTGTTAGCGACCCGATTCGCAACCTCACTGTGTAGTGGCCAGTCAACAAACGTACCTTGTCACCACACTCTTCTCCGATTTCCTGTCCCAGACCATCTGCGATTTCGGATTGGAGGTCTGCCATGTTTTCCAACATGTTCCTCAAGACAATAACCTCGCTCATGGTACCGAATTTCCCAGTGTCCGCTTTGCCCCTGGCGTTTCCGCCCACAATCTTTCCCTTGCCGCCTGGCTCGGCCCAGCCGCCGCCGTCGGCGTCAGCCTTTTTCCGACGCTTCTCTACTTGGACGCGCAAGGGGTTGACGATGCCGCTCTCGGCGGCGCCAAGACCTGTGCCTGCCTTCCAACCGTACTTTGACATGAGACGGGCGGCGAACCCAGCCTGACCTGGTCGTGAGGATCGCGGCAGGTCCTCTGATGGCGGATCTTCATCCTGAGAGGGTTCGGGAACTCCCAGAGCGGGCGGACGGTCTTCTTCAGGATCACGGTCGGTAGAAGGTTGGGCATAGCGAACTGGTGCGGCGGATATGGTAGATGAGGGTGGTTCAGGCGGCGGAGGCGGCGGGATGGATCCTTCTTGGGGTGGTGGAGGGGGTGGCGGTAACCCTCCAGCTTCGTCGGCTGGAGGTGGTGGTATAGACGGCGGGGATGGAGGTGGTGGTGCGAATGCATTGAATGAAGCCGGGGGCGCGAATTGGCTGGACATGGCTGGTCTCGCATCGCCATCATCATCGTCCGACAGATCGCTATCTTCCGACTTCCGCCTGTGTCTGTAGAGAAGATCCTTCCATTCTCTCACTTCGGCCACCTTTTCTTCACTTTGCAGGTACTCGTCAATGTTCGTCGGCCGAGCTGGGTCATAAATGTCGTCCCAATTGGTCTCTTCTGGCTCCGTCTGGCGGTTCTTCTTTTTCTTGGCCTTGCGCCCGCCACGAGGCCGCTTCTCGCCTGTCCCGTACATCCACGCATCCTCCTCTGTCGCAGTCCAGTCGGCGAGCGTGCTTTTCTGATGTTGGGTGGGAAGGGCGGCAGTGACGCCTTGTGCCTGTTGCTCGGGGGGCGTCGGTTTGCTGGCAGGCGGCGGAGGCTTTGGAAACGCAGGCTTTGATTTGGTTGGCTGCTTGACCTGTGGACGTCGGATAGGCTGGAATCGAAGCGCTGGATCTAGGGCCTTCTTGGACGCATTCTCGAGGTTTGTGGTACTCGCATCAGTCTGGTTGTATAGGACAGGCGCGGAGGAAATAGTTGCGCCGGAGGAGGCTGTTGGGTCGTTGGGGTCGGCAAGGTTGTCGTAGAGAGACAAGCCTCGCGGGGGACCCGTCATGATCGCGTGAGGGTTGTGGTGACTCGAGAGCGGCGACCCGTCAGTGACATAAGCTGCAAAACCGTCCGTCTTCGTGATATGCGCGCTCGCGCGTGGATCTAAGAAGCAATGTGATGGGTCAGCCAAGCTAGCTGCTAAGGTCCAGTCGGTCGCTCGGTCGGTGTGTCCGAGTCGGCAATGTGCGCCTTCGGCTGCAGCGTCCGCTGGCCAGGCCCAGGGGTCCCGACGGCGCAGAAAGTCTAAACGTCACCACCGAATCACACATGCAAGTAGTCGTCTTCATCAACTTACACCAGACCTCACCCCTCTCACTCGAATACACATCGACTGCAGATTACACTGTAACCGAAACAACAGGAGCACCAACATGTCAACTGCGTCGCTATCTCGCGCTTTCCTTCGGCCGTCGCGCCGCCTGTTCGCGGTGCCTGTGCGAACTTTGACCACGACTTCGATTCGGTGGCACCAAGATCTCCCCAATACACCAGAGCTCGAGGTCGGCGAGCTGGAGGGTGCCAAGTTCAAGATCGAGCCTCTACGACGCACCGGCGAAGATGCCAACACCAAGCGCGCTCGTCTCCTGTACCAGTCGCGCAAGCGCGGCACGCTCGAGTCCGATCTGCTGCTCTCTACCTTTGCCGCCGCCAACCTGCCCACCATGACACCAGCACAACTCACCGAGTACGACTTGTTCCTGGACGAGAATGACTGGGACATCTACTACTGGGCAACGCAGCGCGAGTCGTCCTCCTCTACGAATCCGTCGTCGCCCAATCCAGCAGTTGCGGAGAGCAGCGCCAGCTCGACCGATCCTAGCAATGCCGAGGACATTATCAAGCGAGAACCTCCTCGCGGAGAATGGGCCCAGACAGTTGGGAACTACAGGCCTGCATACAGGCCCGTACCCGCCCGGTGGAGGGACAGCGAGGTCCTGGAGCTGCTCAGGCAGCATGTGAGGAACCGCAGCGTTGATGGAAGGGATGGCTCGGGCATGCAGTTTATGCCGGCTTTGGACTCTAAGTGAGCATGGATAGAGAGGTGGGAAACACCCTGTGTAGAATACAGTCGATGTCAAAGCACCACAGTGATCAACCCTTATCTGTACCTTACCTTACCTCCCTCAGACATGATTATTAAACTTCGCGCACGTGAGACGCAATTCACTAGGTCAGATACCTTGATAAACAAGCAGCGAAAATTTAATCATCGCCATGGGGCTCAATGCGAAATTCACTGTGCTGAGAAAGTTTTCCTTCACTGCCTGTGGCTGCGACCCCAGATCTCGCGGCAAGTGCATCTGTATAAATTGCGACCATTGCCCCTCTAAAGCTCCAAATTTGCCCCACCAAAACTGTGAGCTACACATCTACAATTCCACCCTCAGTTTGCCTTGACCTTCACTTCGAGCTTTCGCCTTCACTTCACTTCACCTTCACCTCACGGCAATCCCGACCTTTGCGAATCTGTGCCGCTACAAGAGTGCTTCTCTCGTTGGCTCTGACAGCGTGCACTCCTCTATTCTTCCACACCCGCACACTTCCTCTATTCTTCCACACCCGCACACTGCGATCATGGCTGATCTCGCCAGCCGCATCACGAAGCCAGACGGCTCGGCCGTCGAGAACACTCCAGTCGTTGAGGCTTCCCCTATGGAGGCCTCTTCCGACACCGCCGCCGACGCAGCTGTCTCTGGTGAAGCTCAGTTCGATAGCGCCGACGCTGGAGGCCCTGGATTGCACGAGCCCGACTACGACGTTGAGGTGTCGCTGAGCGCGCTGCAAGAGAACGAGGCTACCCCATTCCATTCCGCCACTACCTGGGAAGATCTGAACCTGTAGGTTGCACCACGCCCGACACCGCACTATTGCTAACCCATGTGCACAGCAAACCCGAACTCCTCAAGGGCCTCCAAGCTCTGAACTTCCTCAAGCCGTCCAAGGTGCAGGGCAAATCGTTGCCTCTGATGCTTAGCGATCCTCCGCGCAACATGCTCGCCCAGTCCCAGTCTGGCACAGGAAAGACGGCCGCTTTCGTCACCGCTATATTGTCGCGCGTGGACTTCAGCCAGCCCGACAAGCCCCAGGCACTTGTGCTCGCGCCCAGCCGTGAGCTCGCCCGTCAAATCGAGGGTGTTATCAAGGCCATTGGTCGCTTCGTGGAGAACTTGGCTATTGCCCCAGCAGTCCCCGGCGCCCTAGCACCAGGAGAGCCCGTCCGCATGCCGGTCGTGGTCGGTACTCCCGGCCGTGTGCAGGATATCATCCGCAGGCGGCAGCTCGATGTGTCCAACTTGAGGGTGCTCGTTCTCGATGAGGCTGACAATATGCTGGACCAGCAGGGTCTTGGCGACCAATGCATGCGCGTCCGCACCATGCTCCCTCCAGAGATCCAAGTGCTCCTGTTCTCGGCGACCTTCCCTGAGAAGGTGCTCAATTACGCCATGAAATTCGCACCCAACGCCCATTCCCTCAAGCTGCAACGCAGCGAATTGACCGTCAAGGGAATCTCTCAGATGTTTATCGACTGCCCCAACAATGAGGAAAAGTACACTATCCTGTGTCGATTATACGGTCTAATGACGATCGGTCAATCCGTGATCTTCGTCAAGGTGTGTTTCCAAAAAGCCCCGTGAGAGAATACCAGCTAACCAAGAAACAGACTCGCGAGAGCGCAAACATCATTGAACAGCGCATGACCGCCGATGGCCATAAGGTCTCCGCACTTCATGCCGCCTTCGAGGGTGCCCAGCGTGACGAGCTTCTCGCCAAGTTCCGCAGCGGCGAAAATAAGGTCCTGATTACTACGAACGTTCTGGCTCGCGGCATTGATGTGTCTAGTGTCTCCATGGTCATTAACTACGACATCCCCATGAAAGGTCGTAGCGACGATGAGCCCGACCATGAGACCTACCTCCACCGAATTGGTCGCACGGGTCGCTTCGGGCGCGTCGGTGTCTCCATTAGCTTCGTTTCCGACAAGAAGTCGTATCAGGGTTTGAATAAGATCGCCACCCACTATGGCATTGACTTGGTCAAGCTGGACACGGAGGACTGGGACGACGCTGAGGAAAAGGTCAAGGACGTCATCAAGAAGAACCGCGCGCAAGCGAGCTACGCTCCCAGCGCCACAGACAGCCAGAAGCAAGCACAGGCCGCCGCGAGCACCTCCTAGAACTGGGGCACGTCTGGCAGCGACACTGGTGGAGGTTCCGCCTCGCCCCAGACCTGGGGCTTCCCGCAGCAAGGGGCTTGGAACTTTCCTGCGCCAGCTCAGGTTGCTGCTTCTGCCTTGGGCCAGGCCGCCGGGGCCGTTGCCAATCATTGGGGTCAGTTTGTCAACAGCGGCACCCATCAACCTTTTGCTTAGAGCAGGATGAGCGCTTGTTTTTTATCATGAGTCGGCGACGACAACGAAGACATGAGTTATGGGGAGCATGGGGGGAGGAAGTATATGTCCTGGCTCTGTACGTACCTATGTACGTTTATTTGCATTGCGGCGGCACAACAGTGCACGGGATAGTAGATGTCTGTGAAGGATTCAGACATAAAATGATACCACAAACTTTACAGGGAAAGCTTGATGTACCCGAGTTGATGTAATGCCCTAGCAAGCAACTGTAAGTTTGTAGTTATCCCATCTAAAGTGTCTGTGTTAGCCAGCCTACAGCCAACGTGAAGCACAAGCCACTCACCGCAAAGTTCGTCCACCGCTGCCCTTCTGTCACTAGATCGCAGACTCCAGAGCCGCGAATGATCCCAGGTTGCTTGGAGACAAGAAACTTTCAAGAACTCTAGTACGATGATAGAATGTTTCACAAAAGCGACAGAAGAAGGGTGGACTACAGGTTAGGCTAAATCTATGATCCCTAGCCACACGTACCTTAGTTATACTTGCAGGCGGCACAGGCGCCCATGGCCCCCCCTTCCTTTACTGGCACCAAGACAGCCCAGCCAGCCTCCAGGTGACCTTCTCACCGCTACCGAGAACAACCTTCCCCCCTGCACCGCTCCAACAATACTCCAACAAGCGAACAGAGATCAACACCGACCAAACTTGCGGTGACTGCTCGGGCCCTTCTCTAGCCACGTTCCCACGTCGACTCATCGCCCGTCAGTCGGACCTCGGTCGGCGTCCACATTGAGCGGACCTATCAACGACTCGACGTTGGGTAGCGGTCCTAGCGGAGCTGCATCCAGGCCGCAACTAATGTCTACATGTCCCACGTAGGTAGACACTGTACTGTAGGAAGCTACCCCACGCAGCATGCGACCGAACAACGCCATCAGCATCCGTAGAAGAACAGTGTGCCACGTCGTACGAGGTATATTCTTGAGATGCGAAGTTCGAGGACAAAGCCGTGACCTGGTGACCTGGCTGCAGCTAATACATGACTGAGTACTACTAGACTAGCAAGTACGTACATTTCGCTGGCTCATTCATGTCAGGCAGGTAGGTGGTGAACCTGCATGGCGACCTGTCTCTCTGCGCTGCGCTGGCGGCCAGCCAGCCAGCGCATATGCATCGCGCGTCGAGGCCCAATGCCTTTTCCCCCGCCTCACAATATGCTGCTGCTGGGCAGCCGCGCTTGCTTTGAATGACATGATCATGCAACCCTGCCGCTATCGCGAACGCCTCCCGAAACTGGACATGGGAGATGATTCACAGGGCTCTGTATCCGTACCCATTCATTGATTCAGTCCCAGCCGGCCACGACCCGCATGGTGAGGATCCTCGAGAACCGCTGTCTACGTGGCAGCTGTCGATTGAGGTACCCGTGGTTTCTGCATAGGTCCATGCGCCAATGAGAGCCAAGCACGACGGCGTCCATGCTGGGTCGAGTCGAACTTGTGTCATTCGCAGTTGGGTCCTCAATCATGTGTTGTTGGGCTCTTCTATACGTACGTACGTGCGGCGAGTGCTCTATGGGAACCCCAGAACGGATTCTATGCCAGCTGCTACCGAACGAGGGGGGGCTGGCATCAATACGTGGTCACCACCGCTGCAGCTAGTAGGCTGGGATCGAAAGCCGGAGGCTGGGATCGTGCTTTAGACTGGGCACTAGGGACCCATCCTCATGCTTCTCTCTCAAAGAAACAAGGGACGTGGGAAGAAAACTCGGACCAGGAAGAACAAGCGGTCTCGTCTGGCGTCAGAGGTATGACCTGGCAGGTTCTCCCACTCGTTCACAGACTTGTTGGGCCCCGGCATATCTGCACATCGCATCACCACATCACGACCTTGAGCTATATCCCATCCTTTCCTGTTGCATCCTCACAACGCACATCACGCACACCCACCTCCTTCGCAGTTGGCTTCTGGACTTGCATGCTGCCTTGAGCACAGTCAGCCACTTGTTCACATTTTACTCCCCCCTCCAGCGTGCCATTTGATTTTCTTACAGACGCCCAAAGCGCACTGCATTGTCAATCACACAGCAGCACACATCCATCCCACCATCCCGCGCCGCAGCTCACGTCGACCACCCTACTGCATCTACCCGAGGAGCCCAACCCACCCCAACCCATTCCGATTCGACCAAGAGAGCTGCACGGAGACCGTTGATATAAACGGTCCCCAGCTCACCCACACTCAGACGATCTCATGGGGTCGAAAGCCAAGAAGGCCGGCAACAAAGTATGAGCTACGATCCAGGCACATCGGCCTACGATTATCGGCGTGCCGTCGATTTCTCCTCAGTTCAGTGGTCTAATTTTAACAATGTACAGTACTCTCAGCCTGAACTATCAGATGACGAGCAACCACAACAACCTCAAGGTATGCATGCGCGAGCGAAGCAAGTCCCATGCCGGACTAAGGCCTGGTAGCTAACCACACCGTGGCAACTTCAGATGGTGAACAAATAGACGCCGAGGCAGCCCCTGCCGAGGAGGGGTCCAAGGGGCCCTTGTCCAAGAAAGACAAGAAGAAGCTCAAGAAGAAGCAGAAGAAGGCAGAGAAGGCTGCAGGACCGCAGAATGACACACCAGCATCGGCACCAGCACCAGCACCTGCAGATGCCGAGGCCGAGACGGCGGCCCCATCTGAGCCCGCACAAGAGCCGGAAGTAAAGGTCGACGCTGAAGCTGAGCCCGAGAGCAAGGCGGACGCTGAGCCCGAGAGTAAAGCGGAAGCTGAGCCTGAGGCCGCAGGCATGGTTGAGTCCGACGGCAAAGCAGATGCTACAGCTCAAAGTAAAGCAGATGCCCAGCCCGAGGAGAAGCTGGATGCCGAGTCCAATCCTGCGGAATCATCCGCAGCACCTGATCAGCCTCCTGAAACAGAGGTAGCGCCCGAAAATGACGTTCCTGCTGTCGAGTCTGGAGAAAAGGTAGACACTGCGTCGGAACCGAAGGTCGTCGCGGAACCGGAGCAGAAGGCAGACGTCGAGCCAGAACCGACAACACAACCGGAGCCACAACCCGAGGAGGCGTCGGAAGCGACAAAATCATCAGAGCCTGACCCAGAGCCCACACCTGAAACCACAAAAGAGCTAGAGCAACCGACACCAACCCCGCCAGAACCGGCTTCCGACCCAGCAACTGCTGTTGCCGCCGAGGAAGAAGCGGTTGAGGCCACCTCTTCCGGCAAGAAGAAGAAAAAGAAGAAGAAGAAGGGCAAAGGAGGCGACATAGCCCAGGAGGCTCCAGCACCCACACCGGCAGAGGACACCACCAAGGCGACAGAGGAAGCTGCCGAGAAGGAGGCCGCCGAAGCCGCCGCTAAGGAAGCTGCCGAGAAAGAAGCCGCCGAGAAGGAGGCCGCCGAAGCTGCCGCTAAGGAAGCAGCCGAGAAGGAGGCTGCAGAAAAGGAAGCTGCGGAAAAGGAAGCTGCTGAGAAGGAAGCTGCTGAGAAGGAAGCCGCTGCCGCTAAGGAGGCTGCCGAGAAAGAAGCTGCCGAGAAAGCTGCTGCCGAAGCTGCTGAGAAGGAAGCTGCTGAGAAGGAAGCCGCTGAAGCCGCCGAGAAAGAAGCTGCCGAGAAGGAAGCCGCCGAGAAGGAGGCCGCCGAGAAAGCTGCTGCCGAAGCTGCTGAGAAGGAAGCCGCTGAAGCCGCCGAGAAGGCTGCTGCCGAAGCTGCTGCTGAAGCCGCTGAGAAGGAGGCTGCCGAGAAAGCTGCTGCTGAAGCTGCTGAGAAGGAAGCCGCTGAAGCCGCCGAGAAAGAAGCTGCCGAGAAGGCTGCTGCCGAGAAAGCTGCTGCCGAAGCTGCTGCCGAGAAAGCTGCTGCCGAAGCTGCTGCTGAAGCCGCCGAGAAGGAGGCTGCCGAGAAAGCTGCTGCCGAAGCTGCTGAGAAGGAAGCCGCTGAAGCCGCCGAGAAAGCTGCTGCCGAAGCTGCTGAGAAGGAAGCCGCTGAAGCCGCCGCTGAAGCCGCCGAGAAAGCTGCTGCTGAAGCTGCTGAGAAGGAAGCCGCTGAAGCCGCCGAGAAGGAGGCCGCCGAAAAGGAAGCCGCTGAAGCTGCCGCTAAGGAAGCTGCCGAGAAGGCTGCTGCCGAGAAAGCTGCTGCTGAAGCTGCTGAGAAGGAAGCCGCTGAAGCCGCCGAGAAGGAAGCCGCTGAAGCTGCCGCTAAGGAAGCTGCCGAGAAAGCTGCTGCCGAAGCTGCTGAGAAGACTGCTGCTAAAGAAGCTGCCGAACAGGAAGCCAAAGAGGCAGGGGAGACTGCTAAAGATGAACCTGAGGAGCCTGTGCCAACCGGCAGCAAAAAAAGCAAAAAGAACGACAAGAAGAAGGCCAAGAAACAGGCTAAGAAAGCTGCCGAGAAGGCTGTTGAAGTTTCTGAAGAACCTGCGAAGGCAGATTCAGAGGTGGACGGGAAGGACCTCGTGATCGCCGCGACACCAGCTGGTGCAGCTGACATCGCAGGTGCTGCTGCGGCCTCCGAGTTGCCCGAAGATGCTGAACGTTCTGAATCAACCAAAGAGGCTACTGCCTCTGATGAGCCCGTCAACACCGCCGCCCCCCCCGACGACAAAGCCCAGGAGCCTGATTCGCCGGACAAACCATTGAGCGACGCAGAGGTAGCCACTGCCGAGTCGATGCCAGCAGGCGCCAACGATTCGACGGCTGTTCCGGATGCTGGGGTTGTTGAAGAACATCCGGAGGACTTGGTTGAAGAGCCCAAGGAGACAACGCCTGATGCGCCAACTGCCGATGACCAAACTCGAGAAGCCTCGAAAGACGACAGTGGTGACGTTGACTCCTCCGGCGTGGATGCTGCCAAATCCGTCGAGCCCTTAGACTCCGAGGCAAAGGCGGCGACTGAGTCCGAACAGTCAGTGGACGAAGTTGCGAAGGACGATGATGCAGCTGTCAACGCGCAGCTCAAGGACGCGACCGTCGATGTCGACATAGGCGCGGAAGAGGCGCAGCCAGAGTTGTCAGGACAAACCTCTGACTCCCTTGATGCTCCAAATCAGGAACCGGCACCAACTACAGAGGCGAATGTGGAAGAGCCAGTCGTAACGGAGGAAGCTACTGATAAAGACGTGGTGGCTGTGGTAGCCGATGAAGAGAAGGCCGCGCCTGTGGGCGTAGAGGAGGACATCGACAACACCGAGTCTAGGCCCACTGACGCCACGGCTACAGCTGGCAAAGATCTCGAAGACAACCTGGATTCAGCTTTGGAGGATCGCACTCCTAAACAAGACGAGTCTGAGTTGAGTAATTCAGAGGCCAAGGTCGAGGAAAGCCCAAATCAGCAGAAGCACGAGGATCTTGACACTGTAGAGGAGACGACTGTCGACGACCATGCTGCCGCTGACAAGCCTGAATCAGCGGTGGACAATCCGGAGCTAGATACGACTGAGCCTTCTCTTGTTGGTGATCATAGTCGCGAGGCCGATGCACCCAGCTCTAAATCTCCGGAAGCGCCCGAGGCTTCTTCTGAAGCCGATGAGCTTTTGGATGAGGGGCCAGAAGCCACGGAGGACACAACGGATACCACAGTTGCAACTGCAGACTCTGACAACAGAAAAGACGTCGTTGCTCAGACGACCGAAGAGCCTGTTACAACTGAATCCGTGAGTCTCCCCAAGGCTGACAGCATAGCAGAACCAGCAGTGGACACGCCAGACATCGAGGAGCCTACTCAGGACAACATGAATACGTCATCTATGACAGACGGCGTTGCTGAAGACAAGGAGCAGGACGCTGCCGAGGCTCCTGAGGCAGAGTCTGAAGCACCTGTAGTGCCTACTGAGGATACCTCTGATTCTAAGGAAGGCCCCACAATGGCCGCCGAGGACGATACAGGAGCCACCAAGGCTGAGGCTGGAGAAGTTGCCGATGAGGCTGCAGTTGCGGTAGCCGCAGCACAAGATGACGCCGCCGCCGAAGCGTCACCTGCTGCTGGTGCTTCCGACTCAGCCAAGGCTACTGAGGCTGTCGACATGTCTCCTGAGCTATCTTCTGAACGGACCCCTGCACCAGAGCCAGGACAAGACGAAGACGTGGACGATAATGTCAAGCCCTCAGACCTGGAGACGCACGTCTCCGAGCCAAAGCACGTCGAGACTGATATAGAAAAGGAAGTTCAGGACTCTGAGGAGCCCCAGGCTGCTGAGCCGGCTGAACCAATCGTTGACCAAGAGACGCCTATGGAAGCAGTTGAGCCGAGCGCCAAAGCTGTGTCGGATATTGATGCGCAGCCTGAAGTCGAGCCCCAGGAAGCCGGGGCGGACGCGGTTGAACATGCGCAAGCGCCGGCGGAACCAGCAGCGCCAGTCGAACCCGCTGAACCAGAGGGCATTCCCGCCACCAGCGCTGTCTCTGCAGTTGAGCCCCAACCCGAGGCGGAAGAGCGAGCAGCGCCCGCACCCGAGCCCGCACCCGAACGCGAGGCCTCCAAGGGGCCCGAGAAGGTGGAGAAGCACGACTTGGTTGGGAAGTTGAAGCCCGTGACGGACAAGGTCGTTGAGAGGACCAGGAAAGGTGAGGAAGAAGACCTTTCATTACGTGATGATACCCATTTGGAATTCTTGCAGGAGGATGTGGTGGTGGACAATGTAGCTGACGCCCAGGCAAGGAGTGGTGATGGCATTCTGTCTCTGCGTTCTGGCGGTCTCTCTGCAATTCGCGACGAGCAGGATAAGCCTGGTCTGGTCGTGAGGACTTGTCGAGGGGATACGGGGCGGGAGGCAGTGGGCGCAACTGATTTCGGGCTCGCCACTACGGACGACTCGAGCCAGACTGTGCAAGGCGACGTGGACGACGGCAATGCGCGAGATGGGGGAATCGAGCACGACACATCCGACCTAGTCTGTCTGAGCGCTGGACCCGCGATGGCTACGACAATGGACAAGTTTATCACTTTTGGTTATGCAGGCGAAAGGCTATTACCTGCAGCAGCGAGTCAAGCTTCACCTGGCATATCCGAGCGAGCGCATCAAGGCGGAGTCTCCGAAGCACCTGTGGCAGAACAGCGGCCCAGACTGGCTCATTCGAGCACGCAAACAGACGAGGAGTCTTTCAACCGCCACAGCAGACTGCCGCCTACTGCGACTGAGCCTCGTGCGCCTACTCCTGGAGTAGTCTTGCCCGATTCAGACATGGTCAATTTGCATCGTGCGCAGACCCTTCGGCACAAGAAGAAGCTGTCTGTCCGCGCAGCCGAGGATACGCTAGCTGCTGCCGTGGTGATCTTTGCCACTGCCGAAGTGCTCAGCCCACCCTCCAGCCCACCACTCTTGAGCAGTCCCCGGAGTGATGGGGGCTTGCCGAACTTTGAAGTCTCCTTGAAGCATGGTTCACCACCCAACTGCAGAGAAACCGCCGCCGCTCCCCAGTGGTCCATAGGATCGGAGGATGGAGAGGAAGCTGTTTACACTGAAGATGAAGGTCTTCCAAAGTCAGCTGCTGACTTGTATACAGACGATAGGCACAGAGACCCAAGCGACAGAGAGCGTGAGAAGCGTCGTAGTCGCCGCCACTCTCACCAATCGGCACACTCTGGCAGAAGTCGCGGGGAAGAGGAGCCCAAGGAGAGCCGAAAGCGGTCGTCGCACACCTCGCATGGCACGGCCCACCCTTCAATAAGCTCGCAACGCAGCCAGCGCCGGCGTGCAGAGGATCCTGAGTCTGGCACGCGCACGCCCCCACGGCGACGCGACAGTGGTTACTCTGGTGACAGTCCCGGCAGTACTGGCCGTCGGCATCGAGAGCGTGCCGAGACGTTACCCGACGAGCAGGACGCGCGCGAAAGACGCAGGGCTGAGCGCAAAGCTAGGGAAAAGGAAGCTGAGCGACGCGAGGTCCTCCGGTCGAGAGAGGCACAGCGACGCGAGCAAGACGACACGGAGCGTCGTCGACACCGATCTTCCCGACGACAGAGCCATTCTAGCTATCAAGCCAGACCCGAGCCGCCCAGGGACGTCCCCATTGCCGATGACGATCAACTCCCCGAGAAAAAGTTCTTCGATATCAAGAACGCTGAAGGCGTCTATGGCGACGGTACCATCCGCCCGGGGTCACTGCGAAGTGTGTCGACGACTCGAGAAGAGGTGCACGCACCCACCACCGAGCCATACATCCGCCCACCACCCACCCGGGCGGAGTCGTCGAGGAGGAATACAACGTCTCGTTCCAAGGCTGGCTCCAGTCGGCGCTCGACCGACGAGACGCGCCCAAAGTCAAGCAAGTCACGGGAGGATTCCTACGCTGGCTCGTCGCACAAGTCGCGGGCCCCACCGGAGGACGCTGCTCGCAAGGCAAGGCACCAGGAGCGCAGGAGGGCGAAGGAGGAGGAGAAGAAACCGACCGGCATTAAGGCCGCCTTCAAGCGGATCTTTGCCTCGTGATTGGTTTGTTCTGGTGTCCTCAAGGTTTACGACCTTGATGTATAATGTCTGTTACGATTTTCACGAGATAGGTCCTGGGCGGATCACGACAGCTACGCCTCGGGAGTTATCAGAATGGATTTGCAATGAATTTGACCACTATGGAAAACAAGAAGAAGAAGAAAGCCATCAATACAGCACTGCGATGAATCTAGGGTCTGTAGTACATGCCAGGGTCCACAACAAAGGGGTTTCAAAACAAACTTCCGCAAGTGGCATTTAGAGCCGCACCGCCTCGAGTCTATACTTGTGTCGGGCAAAGAATGAGCACTTGATGTAAAAATTTATGTTCAACTTGGTAATTTGAAGCTTTGTGGCCCTTGGAAGGGCGACTGTGTCTTCCCTGGAAGCAGCAAAAAGTGCTCGCTCTGCTGTTCCCACTTAACACTGCTAATGTTCAGATCCTTGGTCACCTCAACATTGCAACCACCGCCTATCAGCCAGCTCACGAGATCGATGTGCTCAGTTGAGTCGCGGAATCAAGCAAAATGAAGGCCGGTATTGTTGTCCTCCTTGTCGCTGCGGCGGCGGCACATGTCATCCCTCACGACGCCTCCTCCAGCATTCCCCCCGACCTGGCTCTGGCCCGCCGTACGCCCAAGACCTCACACGCACTCGACGGGAGTCATGGCAAGTGTATCGCCGCCATCGCGGACGCCGAGGACGCCTCCCGTCAGACCAAACCCCACGAAACCAGAGAGAAGAGATCCCCTGAGGAGCCTCTGCATCTCGAGATAAACCCTCCTTTCAGATATCACATTCCCGAAACCCCCGAGAAAAAGCACGCGAGACTCGAGGGGCAGCTGGTGAAGGTCGCCAAGCACTTGTTGGATGATCCTGTGGAGGGCGACGATCCTGCTGATTACATACACCCTGAACTGAAGGAGAAATGGATCGAATATGTGGAGGACGCTGAGAAGAAGAATCCGCCAAAGACACCGGAGGTGGAGCCTCCTACAAAGCCTAGCCATACATCCCCTTCTGAATCATCTTCTGACGAGCAGTCGAAGGAGGTTGAGCCCACTGGCGAAGATGGGGGTTCTGACGAGGTGGGACCTCAAGAGCCCGACATTCAGCCCGCTGAAGAGCTTCAGGAGCCTGAAGTTCAAAGTGTGGAACAATTCATCGCTGAAGATGAGACTGATAAGGGTGACCCTCACGAACCAGAAAAGCCGAGCGACAAACAAGTCCAACATGCCGAGGCCAGCGCGTCGGAGGAGGCGAAGCCGAACAAGAAGGAAAAGGTACCCAAGGAAGTCAAGAAAGCACATAAGACTGCCAAGCCTTCAAAAGGGCGAAAAGGGCCGAAACATGGCGGGAAGAAAGGCGCATCCGATAATATGGGCAAAGGCATGGGTAAGGGGTCCGATGCAGGGTCTGCCATATCACGCATGGGCGTCCCAGCAGCTGCGGTTCTCGGGGCCGCAAGCGTCGTACCTGAGGGCCTTGCCGCAGCCTCTGGCCCTGGCACTGCAGCTGTGGGAGGTGAGGCGCTTGCAAGGGCCAAAGTGCCTGGAACGGAGAGCCTTGGAGAGGCTCTGAACCTTGGAGGCGTCGGGAATCCTGCGGATGCAGTCATTGATACGGAATCCCTTGGAAACACGGACAGTCTCGCTACTTCTGAAGCGCTTGCAGGCACCGATGTTCCCGGCAAGGGGCCTGAGAATCTCCCAAACACTGGCCTCGACCTCGCCACTCCAGACGCCGAAACTGTAGGAGCTGAGAGTAGCCCAGCAACCAAGGGTCACTCTGCGATAGGTACTGGTAGTAAGATCCTGGGAGCGGCCGCTCTTGCGGGAGGCGTGGCGAGCAAGATTGCCGAAGGCGTGGTGAAGCTGAGTAACCCACTGCCCGTCCCACCGGCCAACGGGACCAAGAAGCAAGACGAGGTGCAAGCGGAGATGGAGCTCGGTCCGAGCACTCTGTACGAGGGGGGCCAGGACGAGGACCAGGACGAGGAAAACCGAGAGCCAGATGACCGCGACGATGTTGACAAGGACCTGGAAGAGGCCGACCAGGATGAAAATAGCCAGGACGAAGGTAATGCCGAGGGTGCGATCAAGAAGGACATGGACAACGTGGTGGATTTCTTCGGCAGAGCAGCCAAGAGGCTGCTTGACATTCTCAGAAAACTACGTGCTCTGCAGATGGAAAGCAAGGCTGCCAACAAGCAGGACAAGGAAAACGAAGAAAAGCAGAAGGCCATAGACGACGCCCAGGGGCAGAAGGATCATGAGGACCAGGAGACCTCTCAGAAGCAGAAGGTCAAGGAAAAGGCTCAGAAGAAGAAGGACAAGGTGAGCGCTCAAAAGCAGAAGGACAAATCGAAGGCCCAAAAGAAAAAGGATAAACAGCATGCCCAAAAGCAAAAAGACAAGGCGAGCGCTCCAAAGCAGGAGGACAAGGAAACCAGCCAAAAGCACAAGGTCAAGGAAACCCCCCCAGAGCACAGGGTCGAGGAAACCCCCCAGGAGCAGAAGGGCGAGGGGAATGTCCCAAAGGGCGCGGAGAATCTCCGAATCCAGAAGATCGAGGCGAACGCTCAACGGCTGGCCGAACTGCGCCATGGCGCAGGAGAACGCTTAAAGGTGACGGCATTTGGCAAGGAGCTCGACCGGATAGGTTTTGGAGCCCCAGGGAACGAAGTGATGAGCGGCATGGCAAAGCAGGTCCTGGACGTGGCCAGCGGCGAGTCCGAGATGACCGGCAAGCAGGGATCGCCGTACACGGTCAACGGCGTACAGATAGACCCCAACTGGAAGGAGAAGCACATGGAGCTCTTTGCGGCTGGTCAAGCCTGTGTAGATTTCGAGCACTTTAGGCTGCTGGAGCTGGTGGAGGCCGACGAGCTGTACCAGGCAGTGAAGGGCAAACCCTCCGGCTATTTCTAGACGCAGGTCACGATGCCTTCTTCTCAAGATGAACCCTGGCAGCTCAGTCGCCTTACAGTGGCTGGATATCTTCATCTTGAGACACCCTGAGAGGCATCTGCGATTGCGGATATTTCGTTTAGATTGGGCGCACACTCACATCATGGTAGACAATATAGTCCATGTGTCATGAAATCATGTCAATTGCGTGAGTTGACAGTGGAAATCGCAGCACAATATTGGCACCTCGACTTGTCGTGCTGGGAGAGCCGTGTCTGCGCTCCATGAAGTCAGAGCTCATCACGTGAGAACCTGCCGAGCCCCACTGCCGCCGGCGAATTGTCGGCGCGCACAAGGCCCAATGCAGCCCTAGAATTTCGCCCATTTTGCGCACCCCACCCGAATTTCGAGCGAAATTTCAGGACTGCGATTTGCCAGCAAGCCCGTCCGTCCACGCTCAAGCCAAACCACCACGACAACCCATCTTCGGCGCAGGATTCGACTTCTTTGCGACCCTCACTCGACTACTCAACCCCTTCCTACCCTCAATACCGCAGCAATGGCTCCCCAGACCGTACGTACAACATGATCACCGCTTTGCTGTTTGCCCAGGCCACCAACCCCCCTCCCCCCCCCTTCGGGCGGACGGCACTGGCAAGATGCAGTAGGCTAAAATCATATCTCTCTTGATGCAGAAGAAGGTGCAGAAGCAGACGAAGAAGTTCGTCATCAACGCTTCGCAGCCCGCCAACGACAAGATCTTTGACGTCTCGGCCTTTGAGAAGTTCCTCCAGGACCGCATCAAGGTCGAGGGCCGCACCAACAACCTGGGCGACAACGTCCAGATCTCCCAGAAGGGCGACGGCAAGATCGAGATCATTGCCCACAATGACCTCTCCGGTCGCTACCTCAAGTACTTGTAGGTTATCCCTCTCGAAATTCTGTTTCTACCGATTCTCCCCGGACACACTGGCTAACTGGTATCGCACAGGACCAAGAAGTTCCTCAAGAAGCAGCAGCTTCGTGACTGGCTCCGCGTCGTCTCCACCTCGCGCGGTGTCTACGAGCTCAAGTTCTACAACGTCGTCAACGACGCCGACGAGGAGGACGACGAGTAAACGTGCCGCTTCCGACCTTTTTCACGCATTTCATGATTCCAAAATTGGGACACGGACGGCGGTCAGGCGCTTGGATGGCTTGGGCATTGGGGATATAGGAAGCGGCCACCTCCTGCGGGTGGATGTTCGGCGGCTTTTTTGCCAAATACAAAAAACAAACCATTTGAGGGGCTCCAAATTCTTGTCAATGTATTCGTGACTGGGGTGGTATAATTCGCTCTGCATGATGCTTGCGCCGTGTATTTCGTACATTCCTGGTCTCCATTTCCGCTCCTGACCGTATCCTGCTTCCTTCACCCAGGCAAGCTCCTAAACACAGCCTCCCACACCAGCAACGCCATGGCGTTCGCAGGGAACGCCCGGAGGAAGCACGGCAGGAAGCCCCTCCAGTACCCCTTGATGCCCTGCTCCTGATAAATCGTCCTCGCGGCGTCCTTCCAGCGCGGGAAACGCCTCTGCCCGTCGCCCAGCCCACCGCCCAGCGGATCCGTCATGATCCTCTGCTTGACCACGTCACTCGGGTAGCACGTCAGCCAGTAGACCTGGGCACTCAAGCCGCCGGCCCAAAAGTTGATGGCCGGCGTGCTCATGGCCGTGTGCCGCCGCATGGCGTTGGAGATGACGTTGTACGAGCTCCACCAGAAGAAGAAGAAGGCGCGGAAGACGAGCGTCGCCGACAGCCCGTGAAAGACACCCTGTACGCCGTGATGCTTGTAGATGCGGCTCAGGCAGTCCAGCGGGCCCGAGTAGCGCCTGTCGGCTTTTTTGGCCGCGTACTGGATCTGCAGGCGCGCCTTGATGTGCTCCACGGGGGCGGCGATGAAGCTGACCGTCGCGCCGGCCATCATGCCCGCAATGCCGTGCCCAGAGGAGGGCAGGGCCGCCTTGTCGACGCCGTAGACGCGGTCGGAGAGGAGTCGGCGGTACACGTTCAGGCTGCCCATCATGATGGAGTCCATAAACATCCAGCCCAGCAGCGGCGGCGTGGCCCCCTTGTACAGACCCCGGACGCCCTCGTTCCGCAGCGTCTGCATCGCACACTCGAGCGGGCCCCGGAAGCGGCTCGAGTCGGTCGTCTGCAGGCGCACCTTGACCGTGTCAAAGGGGTGGCCGACGGTGAGCTTGGCGACGCCGCTGAAGACACCGGCGACGAAGCCCTTGTAGTCATGGCCGGCCGAGGATGTCGATGTCCGGGCGGGCTCGACAGCTGGGGCGACTAGGGCGTTGGCGGAGGGCTTGAGCACGGGCGGCGGTGCTGCGACAGCGAGTGAGGGCGCCATGGTGTTCGAGCGAGCGAGCGCTGTCCAGCCAAGGTGTGTGCGAGTAATCTTATTGTTTTCGTCGGGCTTTCTCCTCGATACCAATGGATTGGTCTGCTCATGTACTGAGGTCCGGCCCTCGACGCAGATTATTTACATTGGGGTTCCTCGAGAGCGATGTCGGAGACGTACGTCGTGGAAATTGGGTCGGCAGGTCGAGAAAGGTGGACGGTCTGAATCACTGCGGCTATAATCAAGTCACTCGAGCAAAGGTCTGCCTCAGCCCAGACGCGGCCCTCACTTTGGCAGGATGGAATCGCATGAAGCCGCCGTGGGGATTCCATTGGGGTGAGTAATATCCGACACTCGAGGGAGCAAGTTATAACAGCGTCATCGGTTTTTCTCTATCCTAGTAAGCCAGCCAGCCAGCCAGCCAGCCACAGCAGCACAGGGTAGGTAGGTAGGTAGGTAGGTAGGTAGGTAGGTACCTTACCCTTTCGTTTGGATATTGTTTCTACGTATTTCATCAGCGCGTGGCCTCGGGCGCTGCCGACTTGGCAGGTACAGCAAGCAAACTCACTCAGCACCAGCGACGCTCAGGAACAAGGTAGGGAAGAGAGTGGCAGGGTTAATCACCTTCGTCATCACCATCCGCCAACCCTTAAACTATGCTATGCTATGATGTTATGATATGATCACATGTCGCCAGATCCCTCCTCTACCAGTCGTCCTCCAAAATCAAAATAGATCAGCGGACCTATGCTGCGCTGTGCAACCAGAATAGCCAAGTCATGTCGTCGTAATGCAAAGTGCAGAGAAGGAGAAAAAAAGAAGAAAAAAAGGAAGACAGTAAACATCTATGCCGACCGTGCCCCCATTGCGCTGCGGGTTTGCACCATCCTTCTTGTCCCAGGTCCAGTCCATCCTGATTAGCGTCCTCATGAAGAGGATTCCTGATCCAACAGTATATCTTTTGAAGATCGGCACGAAAAGAGTCCGTATCGTTAACGGGCTCTAGTGCCCTTGAACAGCCAGCCGTACTGTTCGCCTTGACCGGCCTCTGCCTAAAAGGTATCCGTGTCTTGGCTGGCGACGGTGCCGAACGTGTCTGTGTATAGTCAGCGTCTGATCTATCTCGCGCAGAGGACGTCAGCTGATTAGGACATACCTCTCTTGCGTCGCCTCTCGTCTCTGGCCGCCTCATCCTCCGGGCTCATGGGTGTCATGGCACGGGGTCCGCTGGGACGGCGGGCGGGAGCCCCCAGAGCGGCGCTCAGGTTGCGATTCTCTGGCCTCGGGCTGCCCGGGCCCGGGCTCACAGGACCAGAGACGTAGCCGTCCTCGTATGTCTGATTCTGCAGAGGGCTACCCTTGGCCAGCCTGGAGATACGGGCTCGCGGCGGTGTTCGCCCCGTCGCGCCTTCGAGCGGCTCCTTTGGGGGCCGGGGAGGAGCTCCGGTCTGTCCGCTTGTAGGAGACGTAGGCCAATATTCTCCCTCGCGAGGTCCATTGGATGAGCCGTGGCTATATCGCTGGGCGTTTTGGGGCAGCCTGTTCAGGCTCGTCGCGGAGCCAGCCCAGTCGGCAGATCGGGGTGTTGCAGGGTCGTTGAATTCCTGCGCTGACGTCTCCAGCGCTGTGCGGAAGCGCTCTGTCTGTCCTGGTCGGGGTTGCGGGTGTTGCAGGTTCAGCGAATTGCGGTGTGCCCGATACTTGGGGTCCTCTGGGCTCGCCAATGCGCCTTGGTACTGCGGCTGGCCATCGGCCTGCTCAATGGTAGTACCCAGGTTCGGGTCTGAGAATCCCGTCCGTAGTTTGTCCTCGCCATACGGATCGTGCTCGTATTGATCGTACGAGGCCAGGCTCGAGCCGGAGCGCGAGGGCGGGAGCTGATCGTCGTACTTTTGCTCCTTCTTGGTGAAGTTGCCGCTGCTCCTGAAAGCCCGACCAACGCTGGATGCAGTCGTTTCAGACCAGCGCGAGATCTTGGGGATCCAGCCCGACGAGCTGCTGGACTTGTGCTTCTTAGCCTTCTCCGTCTTGGGGGTGTTGTCGGCGCTGAAACCGTGCTGCTGGTTGGAAGATGAAGCTTGCTGTGACGGGCTGTCGGGTGGCAAGGAGCCGCCACGTCGAGTATCGTCGTATTCGGCCGCGCCAGTCATCATAGGCGGCTGGGTGCGCTCGTTGATCGGGCTGGGGTGGTCATACTGGTACTCGTCCTCGTGCTCGGGTACAGTGCTCACTCGGTTGCCGGCAAAGTCCCGCTCTCCTGCGTGACGTCCCTCGGGACCGCGCGAAAGTGGCGGGTTTGAGAAGTGTCCGGATTGGCTTGCGTGGCTCGCGGTCGAGACACCTTCTGGCTCGTAGCCACGGTCCTGTTCATAGTGGCCCTCTGGCTGCAGGTTCTCGAGGGAGTGGCCCGGTTGCCCTGCCGAGCCCGGGCCAGCCGTTTGTGTCTTCAGGACGTCGACCTCGCCGAGTAGCTGGTTCAGCATATCTTCGATACGGGTCAAGTCATTAGTGCCCTTGGCGCTGAGTCCAGCTAGAGCTCTTTTCCAGAGGTTTTTCTTCTTGGCTGCGGCATCGTCAATGGTCGTTGGCGGCTGCGAGCTTTGGATAGACCGGGATCCCGCGCTGGGGAACGGGCGGGGTCCATTGATGGCTTTCTGCAGCTTGTCGGTGTTCTCGGCGCTGGAGAAGATCACGTCGTCGCCCGTGTCTTGAATCAGGTCCTTCATCTCCTTGAACGAGTTGCGCATCTCCAACGCCGCGTTCATCAGCAGCGCGACGATCTCCGTGTCGCGGGCACTTCTCTGGGCATCTCGGACCATCAGGTGCTGCATCAAGGCCACGATATCCTTATTCTCGATTCTGTCAATGCCTGCACCAGTAGCCGCGTCATAGAACGGCGAGCCCATGCCCTGCGACATGCCGCTCAATTGCCGGGCACCATTCCCCTTGGGTGTGGTGGTTCGGAAAGGATCCTCCTCGCCAAAAGCTTGTGATGGGTCGGTGAACGACAAAGACTGTCCCTTGGGCTGGGCGACTGGTGAACGTGTATTTGGACCATTCGACATGTACCCTTCGTCGTACTTCTGTCCGTAATTCGGGCTGCCCGTGTGGTATGGCGCGTTGTAGGAACCGTCTAGAGCACGTGCTGCGAGAATGTTGTCGTTTAGAGCCGGATTGGCGACCGGGCTGGCATCTTCGTAGGGGTTCGTGATAAGGGTGTCGCGCTTGCGCTCATCCGATGTGCGCTGCCATTCATCTTGGTCTTGGCTAGGCGCAGGGCTGTGAGCAGCTGCCATGCCGGCGGCGGCCCCCAGAGCAGCTGCCCCCGCTGCTTCGGTGAGGCCAATGCCACCTCGGCCAGGACTCGCCACGCTCCTTTTGGTGGGCGTCTGGAACCCAGACCCGTTCATGCTTCGTTGAGTGGGTGTCGCTCGTCCTGAGTAATCATAGCCATGCTGTCCGTTGCGGTGCTCAAGATCGAGGGAAGGATTTGTCAAGGCATCATCGTCAACGTAGCCAATCTCCGGCATGGGATCATGCATGTCGGGCAGGCCGGTGGCGCCGAGCCTCGGGGGCTCGTCATATGAGAAGCGGTCGATACTGTGCGCAGGTGTGTTTCTTGGCTCATAGCCCTCCATGGTGCGCTCCTTGAAGGACTTGTTCCGCCCGACACCAGCACCTACCCACTCGTCCGAGCCGTCTTCAACTGTAGCCTGCTTACGCTCCTGAGCAGCTTTGAGAGCAGCAACAGCAGCGCCGACTGCGCCGCCGGTAATAGCAGCCTCGGACGCAGTAGGTGACTGCCGGTACCTTGAGCGTGGCACCTTGCGACCCTGGTCGTCGAGCTCATATTCGGAATATTCGCGGGGTTGATCCTGGGCGCCAGCACCAGGCGTGGATTGGCGATCCTCAACCAGGCCACGCTGGGTTTCGATAGTACGCTTCTCGGGGCTCTGGCCCCGGCTACTCTGCGTCCTCTGGTCGTAAGAGAGTTGAGAGCTCCTGATTCCGGCAGGATCATACCCCGATCCACTCGTCAAAACTGACTGCTCGAGCATCGAACCGTCAACAAGAGACGCGACGGCCGATTCGACACCCATTGGGGGGTGGACAAATTTGGGGTTGGCGCCGACACCACGAAGGGCTTGTCCAGAGGATGACACAGGTCCAACCTCGCTGTCCTCGGTGTACATGGTATTGCGGTTCTCGAGGTCGGAGGGAGGGCCGTCCATGGACATTTGGTCAAACTCTCGGCTGCGCATGTTGCTAGGAACCGACCCCAGCGACTGGTTTGAGCCCCCATAGCCGGAATGCCCCATCGACTTCTCCGGAGATGGGAAGGTCTCGGACAGGTTCTGGGAGTTGCGTGGTTGGGGTGCCTCGCTCTCAGTGTACCCAGATACACTGGGGATAGGACTAAGACCACGAGCACCAGCTTGATAGGGGACGTATTTAAGTGGCGGCGGCACGTCTTGGGTGCTGTAGTACTCGTCCTCGTAACGGTCTGGATAGTCGCCTGGATCAGAAAGCTCACGATCTCGATCATCGAAATAGTCATCCTGCCTATCCATCGGAATCTTGCCGCCGAACTCATCTGGCACATACTCCTCCTCAAACTCTTGAGTGCCACCTCTGGGCAAGGCCGTGAGGTCGCCATGCGAGACATTCGCATGGCTGGTGCCGAGTGTACGTTGAGGTGCGAGCGCGGCGCTTTGCGAGACTTCGTAGGCCTGCTCGCTTGCTGACTGTGGTCGATCGCTATCTGCCGACAAGATCGACGTCCTAGTCATCTCAGAGGGGTTGATATCGCTCATCAGCGGCATAGGCGGTGCCGGAGCCGGTTCGTAATCGTCGTACTCCTCAGCATACTTTCCAGGGCCAAGACTCCGGCTCCTTGCGCCCTCTGCTCGACGTTTGCGTCGCTCCTTCCGGCTTCTGTCTTCGGAGTGGTCATCGTATGCGGACAGTCCTTTGCTGAGAGCAGCGCCAGCGGCTGCGGCCTTGAGGAG